AGCAAGGTGCTGTGCGGTATGTGGATTAGGTCAAGATACTCCACTTCTCTGGTCTGGTTGATAACATCGTTCCAACAAACTCAAATCACCAGCACATGATCTGGTCTGTAGCCCAACCACCCGGATTTCCCTCATAGCTAGAGTTGGGCTCTGCATGGAGCCCAATGGGATGACAGCCGAAGAGGAAGAGTAACCGGGCAGCATGCACGCCCCATGATCAGGTAGATGAGCTTGAGTTTGACTCTGTTTGACACTGTTAGGCCCTGTACGACGGAGAGTCCGGTCTTGACGCTTCTTTGTCCGACAAGCCTTTAGCGTCGCGGCGTGCAGAGCTAGTAGAATTAGCAGAATTAGCAGAATTAGGGCCAGACACTATCGAATCACACCCCTCCCTGGAATTGTTAACCCGAAGGGGCAACGGCTCTCAGTCTCTTCTCTGGCGCGGCGGACAGTCTGGAATCTGCATCTCTCTCCCTCCAGTGACCCTCAATCATAATGACCTGCAGCGGCCAGAACTCGACCCCGGTTCGACTGGCTAGTTACTAGTAGATTGCCCGGTCATAACCTGCCGCTCATCTCAATTTACCCCTCCTCTGATCTCCTCTAACGTCATCTGTTATGGCATTCCACCGGGACTGGCATGCTGGCCACCGAGACATTCCTCGGGCGAAGCTGTTATTGTTAAATTAGACTTCTACATTCCCGGAAAAGTATCGTCCATTCATTTTTGATTTGGGTGTGATTTTCCCCGTGTTGATAAGAGAATGCCGCGCGAAGGCAGTCGCGGGCGATTACGTTCCCACGAAGCTTGTTTGAATTGCCGGTGAGTCTCTTTGTCCCTCGATCCCGTCCTATACTCACCCCCATGGCATGACAGGAGGAAGAAAGTCCGGTGTCCCGCCGAGAAGCCGTCGTGCTCCAGCTGCGTACGCCTCAATCAGCCGTGTCTCTACGCGTCCGCCCGGAGAGCGTCTCGGGGAGACTATTCGGTAGGCGATTGTTCACAGCCACCTCAAGGCCCAACGGGCAAGTGTTGACGACTAATTCTCGCAGGACGATAGGCTAGCTTTCCTCGAAGAGAAGGTAAATCTCCTCTTGAGCGGCTCCAGGTAGAGAGCATCTTACCCTTGCTCCCACCTCGGTCTGTGGCTGACCCCGTTTCTAGACCCATCCAGTCCGGCATCCAGGAGGAACCCCCCGATGAACCGAGTGACATCTCTCCTCAGTCGTCGACGACCACGCAAGCACCGTCGACCGAGTTGAACCATGCCATCAGCGACTCGATTTCCCCGGGGTTCAACTTCGAAAATGTGAACTTGCACCCCAGCTCGTCGGCCATCGTGAAAGCGGTCGATCTGTACTTTGATTATTGCCACCGACAGCCCATCTGGTGCTTCGGTCGCGAGGACCTCGAGGACCTAAGTTGCCTGTCGGAGGAACTTGTCTGTAGTATCATCGCGCTGACCTCTCGCTTCTCGCGAGAGCGCGACCAGTTACAGCGCTATTGCGACTATGCCCGACATTTGGTGATGCTACGCGTGGCCAGCGGGACGGTGGAGTTGGAGACCATGGAGAGTCTCTGTCTGCTGTCATACTGCGCCTTTATGGGTACGTCTGTAAACCAGAGGCTGTTTCTGAAGTTCTACCTGATTGCTAATATCCAGTTTACAGACGGAAACCTGCAACTCGCTCGATTCCATCTCGGCATGGCTTTCCAGCTCTGTCGCTCTGCCCGGTTGGATCTAGAATCCACGTACAATATGGGCACGCTGTCTGCTGATCGCAAGAAACGGCTTTTTTGGACACTTCAAACCCTTGAGCAGTCCTACGGTCAGCAGAATGGCATCCTTAGCCCGTCGGGAGAAAGTCTGCGACCGTTCTACGTGTCCGCGGTCGGCGACCAGGGAGACTCCCGACTCCCGTATCTGCCTCGCGACGAGATCGGGTGTTCTGGTTCCGACGACATGGGCATCTGGAACTTGACGGCGCATTTTGGCTGGGTCTGGAGTCGAGTGCGAACATATGTGACTGACGTGGCGCAGAACCGGCTGAAGGAGCCGTGGCGACACGACTCGATGTATGCGATGATCCAGTCCGACCTGACGGAGATGGAAAATAAACATTCTCACTGCCATCGATATGAATCGGTTAAGTTTTACGAGCGCCGACCTGACGAGCTGAGAGTCAATCGCGATTATTGGGTCCCGTGGCTGAAGCTACAGTTCACATATCATTCCATTCTCACCGTCTTAAACCACCCTTTCCTTTATATCGCCGCGTCCCAATACAATAATAACCTCACGATCCCCAACACCTTCTGGCGCCGATCCTCCGAGCTTGTCCTGCTGCATGCCACCTGGGTTGTCCGGCTGATCGACATGGTCACCGACAAGAAGCTGCAGCTCGTGGATCCGTTCTTTGGACAAGCAGCGCTGATCGCAGCCACCGTACATCTCTACTACTGCTGTGCCGCCGACCCTCGACTCAAACAAAAGTCCAAGGTAGATCTCGCCAAGTGTCGGCGCTTCCTGCAGCGCTTTGTCTGGTTTTCGCCGGCCTGCAATGCCTTGGTAAGTATCCATTACCATGGCCATCACCTCTGCGGATGGATGACTGACCTAGGTATAGAATCAAATTCTGCGTCGAATTACACGGATCGCCGGGGCCGAATCAATAGATTCCGACTGGGCGCCCTCGAAGATCCATCTCAGCATCCCCTTCATGTGGGCAGCATTGCAAGTAGACGGGTGCATCCCCCGGAACCTCTCAACCGACGGTGTCCTGCATCCGTCGCTGGCCCCCTCCCGCGAAAATATTGACGAAGACTCGACCCCTACGCTCGAGGTCATCGTAGCCATGTCGCCTGAGGTGACGGTGAACACGGCAGACGGAGGGCAAGCGGCCCATATGGCACCACATATGGTCTATATCTCATCCGCTCCGACATCGCGCCAGGATATCCCACTGACCGATCGACTCGTTGCTCCGGCCGACAGCCTCATGTTCAACACGCCCTGGCTGTGGACAGACCCGGGCCAGCTAGTAGACATGGACGGCATTGGTTATCAAGAGTCAGAGCCGGCGATGGGTGATATCGAGGGCTTCTCTACGTGGTGGGATTTTGGAAACTTGTAGAAAGACAAAGGTTTAGATAGAAAAAGAAAGGAGTTTGGTTAGCGAATACTGGGCGTTATTTTTGCCAACTTGGTCAATGTATATTCTGCTTTTTTCCGACTGAGAAACAATTCGCCAGATGTCATACCTCAATTCATAGCACTAGTTACTTCTCTAGCTCAAGCAATCCTTCAATTCTTCCTCATTGCGAAATGAACCATCCCTTGCGTCAGTTCACAGGAAAAAAAAAATTTCGACTGTAATACGATAGATGACAAGTGTGTAATTTCTAGATGCGAGAATTCTCGATAAACGTGCCACCCAGATGGCGATAATAAAGCCAAAAAGAGCATACTGGGGATGTTTTTAGCGTGATTTAGCGGCAATGAACGCATCATCCTGACGATAACAACCAGCCCAACCACCTTGGACAATTTCAGGCTTAATCAGCGGCCAATGACCCAGTGAAATGCATGGAATTCACCCAGATAAGATTGCTGCAGTCCAGTAACAGACATGCTCCGTACTGTGTACTGTACACCGACCAAGCCTAACACCCCGTGGGGTAAAGGAATTCATGCCCCGAAACGGATATGCCATCCCCCGTCCGCTTCGACTCCACCGGTCCGTTGATCTACCAGGCAAAATAAAGTAAAAATAAGAACACAAATATAAAATTAAACACCACTTGATACGGAGATATCGGTGAGGGGGACCGACCCGGACCGTGTCCGGATCACTAGTTCTTTTCCCCTCTTATCTATGACGGCAGTATGTCTCTCTGTCGGTATACTTATAGTCGTTCTCGTCGACCTTGTTGGACGAACGAATCAACTCATTCTATTATGAAATTATGTCCCCTCGAGTTGTTATCATCGGCGCCGGAATTGTCGGCACCAACTTGGTCGACGAGCTGGTCTCGCGCGGATGGAGTGATATCACCGTCGTCGAGCAGGGTCCCCTGCACATGCCCGGGGGTTCGACTTCGCACGCCCCGGGGAACGTGTTCCAGACCAATGCGTCCAAGACGATGACGAGGCTGGCCCATTACACGGTACAGAAGCTGTTATCCCTCGATTGTTTCAACTCGGTGGGCAGTCTCGAAGTGGCCACCACCCCGGCCCGTCTCGAAGATTTGAAACGAAAACATGGATACGCCTCGTCCTGGGGCATCGAGTCCCGTCTGCTCAACAAAGACGAATGTCTCGCCCAATATCCCCTCCTAAACCCCGACCTCGTACTCGGTGGATTCCATGTCACCAGCGACGGTATCGCTCTCGCCGCTCGCGCCACCCAGCTCCTTATTGAACGCACGCAAAAGGCCGGCGTGCGGTATCTAGAATCAACGCCCGTTACCGGAATTGAGCAGACTAATTGTCGGGTTACCGGCGTTCGGATCCCCGGGGGGATCGTCCCTGCTGACCTCGTCGTCTCCTGTGCCGGGTTCTGGGGGGTCCATGTGGGCGCCATGGCCGGTGTCTCGATCCCTCTGCTGCCCATCGCCCATCAGTATGTCAAGACAACAGCTGTCCCGGCTCTCGCAGGCCGCGAGGTGAATGATAAACCGAACGGCCGCAATGCCAGCATGCCCATTCTGCGCCACCAGGATCAGAACCTATACTATCGGGAGCACGGCCAGCAATGCGGTATCGGCTTCTATGGTCACAGACCCATGCCGGTCGATGCGGCCTCCCTTGGTTTGACTCCCAAAGATGTTGACGAGAAGCATATGCCGTCGCGCCTGGACTTCACTCCGGAGGACTTTGTGCCAGCCTGGAACCGATCCCTCGAATTGTTACCCGCCCTCCGTGAGAGCCAAATTGAAGACGGATTCAACGGCATCTTTTCATTTACCCCCGACGGAGGACCGGTGATCGGAGAAGCGCCTGGCTTGGACGGCTTCTACGTGGCCGAAGCCGTGTGGGTGACGCATTCGGCCGGCGTGGCTCGCGCGGTGGCCGAGTTGCTCACGAAGGGCCATTCCGAGATCGATATGACCGAATGTCAGCTGTCGCGGTTTGAAAAGATCCAATTGACCCCCGAGTACGTCAAAGAGACGTCGCAGCAGAACTTCGTCGAAGTATACGACATTCTTCACCCGCTGCAGCCGCGGGAATCTCCCCGAAATCTCCGAGTCAGTCCCTTTTACCACCGACAACGCGAGCTGGGCGCTTTCTTCCTCGAGGCTGCCGCATGGGAGCGCCCTTACTGGTACGAAGCCAATGCTGCTCTGGTCAACTATCTCCCGCCCGAATGGCGGCCCGTCGAGCGAGACCCCTGGTCGGCCCGATTCTATTCACCCATCGCCGCGGTCGAGGCCTGGAAGACACGCAACGCGGTGGCCATGTATGATATGACGGCCTTCCACCGCTTTGAGGTGTCTGGACCGGGAGCAGTGTCTCTTCTCCACCGATTAACCACAGCCGACGTGACGCAGAGACCGGGCACCATCTCTTACGCCCTGCTGCTTGACGACCAAGCCGGCATCCGCAGCGACCTCTTTATCTCTCGGCTCGAGGAGAACGTGTTCCAGGTGGGCGCTAACACGGCCATTGATCTCGACATCTTGGAACGTGAGGCCCGTCGCCAGGCACTGGATCAATGGGTGCAAGTCCGCGACATCACCGGCGGCACCTGTTGCATCGGCCTTTGGGGCCCTCGGGCCCGCGACGTGATCCGGGCTGTGAGTTCCGACGACTTCTCCAACAAAGGACTGCCCTATTTCGGCGTCAAGACGGCACACGTGGCCGGCATCCCCGTCACCGTATTCCGCAAGTCGTATGTCGGAGAGCTGGGTTGGGAGATCCAGACGAGCGCCGAGTACGGAGCCCGACTCTGGGACGCTATCTTCCAGGCCGGAAAACCGCATGGGCTGGTCGTCGCAGGTCGCGGCGCTCTCAATGCTCTACGCCTCGAGAAAGGATACCGCACCTTTGGAACAGACATGACGACTGAACATGATCCCTTCGAAGCGGGTGTGACCGACGCCGTCGCGGTCAACAAGAGAGACGACTATGCCGGCAAGATCGCATTAGCTCGCCGCTCTACACAGTCGCTCACTCGTCGGCTGCGGTGTCTGACTGTCGACGACGGCCGTTCTGTTGTCCTGGGGAAGGAGCCCGTGTATCGCAATGGCAAGGCCGTTGGATACGTGACCACCGCCGCATTTGCTTATTCGGTTCACAAGCCGGCCTTATATGCCTGGCTCCCCGGCGATGCCTCCGAGGGGGAGAAGGTTGAGATCGAGTACTTTGGACGGCGTATCAAGGCCACCGTGACGCGGGAACCGTTGTATGATCCTCAAGGAAGCCGGATGCGTGCGGATGGACCATCAGTCATCCCTGAGCTTCAAAAGCCATTGAAGCATGTCCTGTAACGACAGCGATGTTATTTTATCATGATGTCAATGTGAAACTTTAGATAGCGTTCTCTCAATCTCAGGTGATGAATACCTCCAAGGAACAGGACTTTCAAATGGTTCATTTCGCCTTAAGCCAGCACACCCTATACTCCAAGATTATTTTGCAAAGACACCTCTTACAGAGGTGCCAATTTCAACGGTTCACTTGGATCTGTAAATAAATGAAGCCCTCACACGTAGAATGATTCTAACGTGGTCTTCAGGTTACACCATACACTTCGATACCGTCCCCCATGGCGAAACAAACCGAGAAGTGAGGAAGAGGGTCTTCTGAGCTGACGCGGTCGACGCCAATCACTAGGACTACAGGGACAATGTCTCTGGCAATTAGAGAAGTGTCGTCCTTTAATCCGAAGCGTCATCGTCGACGGGAATAAAAATCCCCAGAGGTTGACTCTGGACCTAGCGGTGTTTGCAAATTTTCGGAGCGCCTTGCTTCCTACAAAATGGCCACGCGAGTAGCGGAGGCAAAGATATTGACTTTGAAATAGAGAGAAATGATACAGGCGCACCAATTTCGCTGCGCTTGTTTGAATGACTAGAAATGCATTATCGCGGCTCCAGTAGACTGGAACGATGAATATTGTACTCGCCCTATCCTCTGTTATATCGGCAGAACAATCAACAGTCACAACCACCCATTGTAATCCTGTAGATGGATTAATTATACCCGAAGGCCCGTCAATGATACAGACTTTTGAATGTACCGGGAGTCTCTAGCTCTACCACACGGTGGCTGTCGCTCATCTCCACCGGTGCCGAGTCACCTTGCAGTTCTGCCGTCGGCTGCGTGCTGGCAATGGCTGGGCTTCTGATTAGACTTGTCGGCTCAACATTCGACTCGCGTACTTCGAAAGCTACGCTCGATGGTTTGGGGCGAAACTTTATGGGCTCTTGTTCGGTGGGTGGTTTTTATCTTCGTTTCATCAAGAAATAGATCAACGCAGCAACAACCGCCACGACGAACAACACTCCAATAGCCACCCCGGCAATCGCTCCGCCTGACCGCGTATTTGATGACTCCGCGGCTTCTCGGTAGAGCTTGACGTAGCAGGTCTGCTGGATTTGCTGGATGACCGTTCACTCGTTGCTGTGGTCGCAGCCGACGTTGTAGACGTTGTTACTGTCGAGGTCGCGGTGACTGGAGAATCCCTGGGATAAACCGCGAAGGCGGCAAAGTCATCGCTTGCATTCTTGGATAGCATGTGGCAGGCATGCCCTCCACTATCCTTGCAGTTCACGTCACGGTATATCTGCCAGCATATCGGCTGCTCCTCTGAGTCCTAGTCGATCAATTCCCTTTGATGCGTGTGCAGGGTCGATACTCTGTGTCTGTGTTCGAAACAAAGTGCCTGTTTCCAGAGGAATTGGTCCATCCAAAAGCCCAACCTGACACTGGAGAGATAATGGAGAATAATGGGTAGGTCCGGGTAGGCGACCGGTGGATGTTCAATCTCATGGCTATTGTTCACACCCACATAACTTGATGTAAATTCATGGAGTCAACATGGCTCTGTGGTCTCGTACCTCAAAGAGTTGACGGCTAAGAGGATGCTAAATAGACTTGAACGCCTCATTTGGCCCCAATGATCGCTGCTTTCTACAGCAGAGAATTCTTCTCTCGCCAACCTGACGAGACATTCAGGAGGAAAACGAGGTGAAACAACTCTAGGATGTAAGCATGACGTGATAGCTGGTGAACACCTCGGGAACACCTCCTTTGCTTCTAGGAATACCCGTTGAAATTCCTTTCGTTTAAGGCTTACACTCTAACTTCGGGGGTTGATCATCTCGATCCTGCTGCTACCTTATTCTGTGTCATAACTAGTTGGCCTTTTTAAGGTGCATGAGAACAAATATGTTAAGCCTAATGGCAAAAGCACACAAATACGAGGTTCATATGCAGGGCTGTGTTGGCCATAGAGCTTTTGGCCCTTATATAGCGTCACATTGCTGGGATAAGGGATTCTAGGAGCTTTGGGTGGAATGGAATATGCAGCTTTTGTCGATCATCATCATCTTGTGGGCAGGATTATCTGACTCCCCCTGTTCCCCCTGAACACGCACAGCATTCATATTACACTAGATAGTCTTCTGCAAGAAACGACGCGAATATCCCGGCCACAACAGAATCGCCGTTAAAGTCACAGGTTAAATAGCCCACTCCTCCTTTTACCGTATGGGTAGACCACCAAAGCTGACAGGAACAGCCCGACAGTAATACCCAATGCCGTCTGCACCATGCTGTACCCCAATCCAGACAAAGAGCTGTGCAACGAGTCACTGGAAGATCCATCGTTGGCGGCCGTCTTGTTCTTCACGGCGGCAGAATACGCCAATCCAGACATAATCGATCCGCTGGTCGCCAACCCTGAAGAGACCAATGTGAACATTCCCGGCACAATCACGGCAGCTGCATGGCCGTGCCACACTCGGGAATATAGATTGGCAAGCAGTCCGATTGTAAAAGCTCCGATCGTGCTGGCTAATCTTCCATCCAGGGCCTTGTTAGCAAAATAGTTTGTCACGTATCCGCTCAAGCCAAGAAAGACCATCATGGGGATTTGCTTCCACTTGGCTTGGTTGATGACACCGGCTATGGCGCAGTATATTGCCACAAAGACAAAGCGCTGGATGTAGTCATTTCCATACACGAGCAGACTATCTGATGGACAGGCGGACTCTGTCGTTGCATTGTTGTCAATGAGGCCGTAGATTGTGATTCCCACCGTAACTCCGTAGCCCAAGAATAAACAGTAGATGATTGTGTATACCAGTCGGATAGAGCCGGCCACGATTTGATGAGACTGCAATTCCAGGCTACTGCACAGAACAGAGTATCCTGGAAGAATCAAGGCAATTGAAGCTTGCGCCATAGCAGGAAAGCAAAATATCGCCTCCTCACCTACGCGAATGCTTCCGAATGCGCGGGCCAAGAAAGAGACCAGGATAGCCACACTTACTTCAAACACGTTTGAGTACATGGCCGATGCCGGGGCAAGTACATGCTGCAGGATACCCAGCAAACAGCCGAGCAAGAAGATGATGGGCATGTCGATCGGGCGAGCGTTGAAGCCCCAGGGCCCTACGGCCACGCTGGCCAGACCCGACAGAATCACCATAACCCACGGTTTGTGATAGCGATTCTTGCGCTTCATCAATTCATCCAAGTCCAAGATCGCCCGGTCCACTTCCAACTTGCCGTGCATCACTTTCTTATAGACGTTGTGCGTCATGGCTAACCGTCCCAAATCCAGTCCCGGAACCACGCTGACCACTTTCACCTCGGCAGTATGCGTCAAGGGATCATCGAACGACATGATCATGCAGCCCGGAAGATACATAAATTGGCCCTGGACGCGCAAAACGTTGGCAGTCATCTGCATGTATTCCTCGAGGCGATGCGTCGGGGCGCCGTATTTCATCAGTGCGCGACAGAGCCGTATGATATACTGCTGGCGAGTGAGAATAGCGCCGATTCTCTCGGTCAGTTGAACCTGGCGTTTCTTTCCTTTCTCCCTGCCCTTACCCTTCCCGTTTCTCCGAGGTTCGCTCTCATCATCGTCGTACCATTTCTGCTTTCGCGGCTTTTTCTTCTTGCCGGGCTGAGAATCTTGGGAAGCGGTCGACTCTACTGAGGCAACAGACAGAGTACTTTCGCTGAAATCGCGTCGATGACCGGTATAACTCTGCATGAGATGCGACAGCACTCCGCCATTGACATCCGCACCATTTTCTATGTCCTGTCCAGCCGGATGCATATTTCGCAGGCCCAGTCCTTGGGCCAGAGCATGCGCCTCAGAATCCAACGCATTTCGCAGCTGCAACCGAAACGTGTCGTCGTGGAGATCTGCCTCCATCAGGTCTGCCAGTCGCATGTCATCCATGGCGCCGTACCCGTCGGGGTGAAGACTGGCATCCAACGCGTCGCCCTCGTCTGGATCCCGTCCCAGCCGTTCTCCCAGTCTTGACGCAGCCTGTCGGAATCGTGTCGCGAAGCCATCTTGGGGAGTCGACTCGGGCTGGGGGGAAGGGGTGTCCGGGATCAGGCCATCAGCGTCGTTTGCAACATCTCGTTCCGACCAGGTCCGTCTGTGATACGTGGCAGCGCTATTTTCACGGCGGTGACGAATTTCCAGAGGAATCTCTTCTGCCATGTTGTCGTGAGGCGGTCTTGTCCATTCCAATCCCCTCGCTAGCTACAGGGGACGAAAAGGTGGTCCGAGGTGTCAGACCTGCAGAGCGATCCCTCCACACAATTATATGACAAGCTTTTTTGTCGGACTTAGCCTCGGTTGTCTCTGTTCGGACCAACTGATTTCCCCAGTCAGTGGAGTTCCGCCTGTTCAGGTTTTGGTCAAGACGCTAATTGACCCATGTGGAACCATCGTAGCCGGATCTCTCGTCGCCTGTGTGACCAAAGAAAGGGGCTAGGACATCCTGCACAGGAAGTGCCCATTACGATTCACATCATGACGACTGCATCTATAAATGGCACTCTGGCGGGTGAATCGACTGGTCAAGGGGTGAGGTATTTCTCTCGCGTTGACCACCGCTGCATCGGATGTCCCTGGAAGGTGGGTCGGTGGCTGGCAGCGATCGGCGTAAGATGCAATTGGATCTGCTAAGGCTTTTTATGGCAAAGATCGTCGTCGCCACTGACAGGTTCCTTTGTTGATGTCTCGCGAGTCCCGATGCTCCCGTCAGGACTTGCAACAGTGAATGGGCCATGGAACGTATCAACTTTTGATTAATCTATTCTGGTCTTGTTTGTATGATACAACTGTTTGTTCCGGCCGGAAGTTCTCCGTCCAGATCTCAATCGCTGCCTATCTGACTCCAAATGTGTGTGTTTTTTTTTCTTGATCTCCAGACCACCATTTCATCCTGTCGTCATTGATATTCCAACCTACATAAGCACCGGTCGACCATAGCCTAGTTACCTTCCTGAATAAACTCATCGGGGTGAATGCAATTCTCCTTGTAGGTCTGCAGACTGTATCTCGCGAACCGGCTCTTAGCTCGAATCTGCGTCCCATATCGCACAAATAACGGCGGAATAAAGCAAAACACCGTCGCCAGGACGGCCAGAATCGACACAGCGACGTTTGCCCCAAGTGACGAGAACATCTGCGCCGTAAACAGCGGGAAGGTAGCCGAGAGAACCGCTCGAATGCAAGTGACCACGGCCACGGCGCTGGCCGAGAAGCTCAGATAACTGTCGGCCAGGTATCCCAAGCACACCGTGGGATATTCGTTCAGGGCGTACCCGATCAGTACCAGCGGCACGGTCGGAACGATCCAGGGTAAGTCGGGGGCGTGAGGAGGAATCGTCCAGGCGAACCACCACAATCCGATCGCCATGGCAGGCGCGCCGATGCAGATGCCTGCCAACTTGTGCTCTGGCAGAAGAGGCAATCCGGCACGCACCCGAGTTTCGAAGATGTGATCGTCTAGGAGTCGCGTCAAGGGGCTGAGAAGAATCCCAATCCCAATAGCTACGAAGGAAAGAGAGGCTAGCTCCGGCGAAAAACCGAGGGACTCATAAATCAGCTGCAGGGCTTCGGTGAAGAGATAGATGAGCCCAAATGCGCCGCCGGCCATCATACCCACCGACATCACGATGGGCTCGGCGAAGAGTTGCATAGGCCTCACGAGCACGACCTGCACAAATGTCTGCATATCGGGCACATGGTCTGGGTTCAACGCCGGCGGCGTATCTATGCCCGTCACCTTCCTCAAGGTGGCGACCTGGCGACCCAGCAGGAGAGACGGTCGAGATTCGCGCATGAAGAGGGTCAATCCGGTCACCGCTGCGACAATGATTGCATAAACGTAGAACACCCATCGCCTACAAGAATTAGCTGCAGCTCCAATCACAAATCGCACGGTTCCTTACCAGCCGAGGGCACTCGTGATATAGACACTCATGATGGGCCCCAAAGACAAGCCTAGTCCCGATGCCGCGGACCAGATGCAGATCCACCACGCCTGTTTCCGACTACTGTACAAGTCTTCTATACTCCCTCCGAGGATGTTGGCTGGAATAGCCGATAAGAAACCGGTGATTGCACGCCCGAACACCACCCCTACCAAGGATTCAACCGAAGCAATCAACACGCATCCCAAACTGAAGAGGACTCCGCTGCCGATGTACAGCTTCTTCCGGCCAAAGGTCTCGGAGTATGGGGCAAAGACAAGAGACCCCAGCAGCTGTCCGAATAGAGACACCGATACGAACAGAAATATCGAAAGGGTCTGGCTGATTTGATATTCGTCGTCGGCTGTTTTGGCTGCGGCCGTCTAGAGAACCGTCAGTTCCATTCGTTCTAAGAAGCAAGAATTCACTCACACCAGCCGTGCTCACTGCAGTCCTTCAAACACCCGAAACCTGTCAGCTTCATATGGCAACTCATTCGGATTCACACATACACGAAAAGGTCCATCAATGTAATGACCGTTAAGTCATAGACTTTCCGGGCCGTTCCCCAATTTCGAGGATGATGCGGGTTCTTGGACCCCCATCGTATATACTGCCCGTCCGGAGTTAATTCCAGATCGTACTGCGTCAGGCAAGCCTCCAGCGAGACATCATGGACGGTTGTGGAGGGCTTTTCCACGCTCTTTGGGCCACTGTGGTTCATCTTGGCAACGCTCGGTTTCCATCTATCCCAGAATGAAAGTCTGAGACACAAGTTCCAAGATTCCTTCCCTCTCTTGCCATGCGGCGCATTATATGTTACCACGAGACACTGACATCTCCGTGGGCCTTCTGGGGATCATCGATGATTATACGTTCAAGGCTCCCCCTTGCGGTCGATCGGCGAATCCTCCTTTGAGCGGACACCCATAGGTGCCATTCATAGTATCAAGTTCGCCAGACTTCATCGTCCAGGGCTGAGGACCAAGGCCTAATCCGGATACCATTCGACACCGTACTCAGGAATGGATCACAGGGTCTCTCGGTCCCTTGCAGATGAGCAAGCGAGTCGCATTCCACGCAATTGCTGCCAGCGCTCCTGATGCGCCAAAGCTTACGGTGTGAGGAATCATTTGAAGTGTCCACATTCTTCCTCGCTGTCTAACGGCTGGTTCGGCGGATGGTTCCCTGCTCAACAGCAGGGGTGGCTCGCATGGGGCCCGATAGTTTCTGTATGACGACATGGTGTTCAATCTTCCCTCTACCTGCCCGTCAAAACCTCGAGCGATCGACACATGGCAGCGAGCTTGTCGCCGTCACAGAGCCGGGAAACTGGTGATCAATACTTCTTTGACTGTCTGTTGCATGGCGTTGCAAAGGTCGGTCCAGTCAAAAGCCTTGACATGCTTGATGACGGTTCCTTAAGGTCTGTTGTCATTAGCCCGGAGTAAATACGGTGCCGGGAATGAGGGCCTCAAGAACTTGGCAGGTAGCATGAGCTCAATCTCCGCTATCTGGGTACTGATGAAGCTAAGTGGAGGTAATCCTTCTAGTCGAAGTGAACCATTAACCACCCCTTCCTTGCAAAGTACAGATAATACGGAAAATCTTCTCTAACCGGTTGGCTCAGGGCGTAGGGAATTAAGATCCCTTCTCTCCATCACACTTCTCTACGCAGTGCATACATTCTTCGATATCTTGACCTAACCAGGCAGGGCAACCATTTGTCATCGATCGTACCCCATCGGGCTGGACTGGCGACTAGTAGGTGTTTCTGATTGACGCAAGGATAATGCTTGGTGGAACCAAGGGAGGTCAGGAATGCTCGTCGTAGTCGTGAGAAGCATAAATTCTCATGACGCGTCATTCATGAGAGGTTTGAGGATACAGATGTCGGAGATTTTCTCGCCTTTTGAAATTTAAAATCTTACGTCGTCTATTTCACTGTCATCTGTGGATGAAGAGTATGACATGAATATGAGCACAGGTCTGGCAAGTTAGGCCTGCAGCTAGTTTTATCGGGTCGTTGTGTTCCTTGAACATGGTTTCACGTTAGATCGAGTAGTTCAAATTAATTTTCTGCTTTCGAGTAGTCCAACAACCTGTGGGTATAAAGTAAGCTCATTGTTGTGCTCGATGTCGGACGTCTATTGGAGCTAAGTCTCTGTAGTAGTACATACATTGAGAGAAGTTATAGTGTAGGAACATGGCCCGCCTTTTGTGTTTTGAGACCGGAAACATATATTGTCATCGTCGTCTTTAAACTATTTCCCTACTATTTGGGTAACGTTTTGAATAGAGAGATACTACTAAATATATTTATCTTAGGGGCGGAGAGATAAACCTTTTACCTCAAACGAGTGCAAACACCCAGTGAGGTCCTTGATACCAGCACTCTCTAGGATCAGGATTCTGACTATCGGAGAGTCACAGAAACGGTGATTTCGATGTTGTCAGGAATATTCCGTATGTACTTGTTCCGGTCCAGACTGGGTGTCCAAAGTGGCTGCCTCAGGTGTGCGGTGTACGGTAATTCCATACCGGAGAATGCTTTCCCCGAGCGGCAGCGGACGCGTAGACCAACGGTACCGATACCGGATATAGGATCCCCCGATACGCGACCCGATCGGGCCGGAAGCGACGCATCCGGCGACGGTTTGACCTCATTTTTTCCCGATTGGGATTTTCGGGGGAGCCTGTTTGTCCATCTTCCATCTTCCAACTCCCCCTCCGCCACGCCTTGCCCATCATGGCCCAGCGGTACATGATCCCCTGGCTCTATGATCTGGGCATTTGGATCTTTACGCTATGCCTGGACATTTTCTTTCGCGAGGTTTACTCGCGCGGTGCCTGGCGCATCCCTAAGCGAGGCCCCGTTATCATTGTCGCCGCGCCTCATGCTAACCAGTTCGTTGATTCTATCTTGTTGATGCGCATCTTGAAGCATCATGCCGATCGTCGCACGTCGTTTCTCATCGCGGAAAAGTCCATGCGCGAGCCTTACATCGGCACCATGGCGGGCTGCATGGGTGCTTTGCCCGTCGTGCGCGCCATGGACAACGTGAAGCCCGCACCCGGGACTGTCTACTTGCCCGACCCCGAGGGCGATCCGACTCTGCTCTGTGGTAGCGACACTGATTTTACCACCGATCAGTTTATGGAGGGCGGCGCGATCATCTTGCCTCGCGTGGGCAAGACCAGCCCGGAGCAGCAGGCCATTGCCGAGATCTTGGGCCCTCACGAAATACGGTTGCGCAAGCCTTTCAAAGAATTTGCACTGGACCATCCCTTGTACAAGGGGCTGCGGGAGGGTACCTCCTTCAAGGTGGCGCCGCACATCGACCAGAGCAAGATGTTCGACGCCGTCTACAAGGAACTCTGCGCCGGAGGCTGTATCGGCATCTTCCCCGAGGGTGGCAGTCACGATCGCCCGAGTTTGCTCCCCTTGAAAGCCGGCGCGGCGATCATCGCGCTGGGGGCGCTGGCTCGAGAACCCGACTGTGGCCTGTCGATCATCCCCTGCGGCATGAATTACTTCCATCCCAACAAATTCCGCTCGCGCGCCGTCGTCGAATTTGGCAACCCCGTACATGTGCACCCTGACCAGATTGAGGCGTTTAAGGCCGGCGGAAACTCCAAGCGCAATGCCGTGGGATCGCTGCTGGAGACCATCCAGGAAGCCCTGACGGCTGTGACTCAACAGGCGCCCGACCACGAGACCCTCGCCCTCATCCAAGCCACTAGACGACTCTATAAGCCGTTGCGCATGAAGCTACCCTTGCCCTTGGTCATCGAATTGAACCGCCGGCTCCTCAAGGGCTACACGCAGTTCAAGGACGAGCGCAAGGTGGTCGAGCTGAAAAAGGCAGTCACCGACTACAACCGACGACTGCGCGCGCTGGGCATCCTGGACCACCAGGTCGAATGGGGCGATGTGCAGCACCGGCCCTGGTGGTTGGTTTTGGGCACGCTGCTGTATCGCATCGGCGAACTGTTGACCCTGGCCGTGGGCACCTTGCCGTCGGTCGCGCTCTTCTGGCCCGTGTTCGTGACGACCAAGATCATCTCCGTCAAGAAGCAACGGAAGGCTCTGGCTGGTTCCGTCGTCAAGCTCGAGGGCCGCGACGTGGTTGGCACCTGGAAGATCCTCGTCGCCATGGGATTGGCGCCCACCCTGTATACCTGGTATACCGCGCTGGGGACGATCTGGCTGACGTACTGCCGTAAAGGCGGACATTACGCAACGACCGCGCCTTGGTGGGCGAATGCCGGCACCTACGTGCCCGACTGGATCCCCCTGGCCGTCTTCGCCGTCTTCTTCTTCGGCCTGATGATCTCGGTCTCCTTCGCCGGTTTGCGAATCGGCGAGATCGGTATCGACGTGCTGAAATCTCTGCCGCCGCTCTTGGTGGCCCTGAGTCCGCGGTCCCACAACTCCCTGGCCCATTTGCGCGCCCAGCGCCAGGAACTGTCTGCGCGCGTGGTGGACACAATCGATACCTTCGCCCCCGAAATCTTCCCCGACTTTGAGACGGAGAAGCTGGTCCCACACGGCCACGCGCAGGACGACAGCGCGTACCGGTCCCATCTGAAGAGTATGCCGCCCAGCGAGCCCGAAAGTCGCAGCCGCAGCCGCCCTGGCAGCGGCCACAGTCGATCCCAGAGCGGCAGCTATCGCTTACATGAGACCCTTCTCAAGCCTTTGACGATCGGGTCCAAAGAGGACCTGGGCGAGGTCAATCGTCGCATCCGCGATTCCATGCAAGAGCGTGGCCGTGCACGCGTCAAGGCCGAGTATGACCCGGATGAGGATGCGGTGGTGGTGGACGGCGCGTCCAGCGGGGGAAATACGACCGATGGCGAGGAGAAGAAAACGCAGTAATGAAGACGTGATGGCAGACAGAGCGAGTGGGTGGATGTTGCACGATGCCTGTATATAGAAAACGATGAGCCTTGATAGATGACGTCAGACGATAACTAGCATCGGCCGGAGTTATTCCGTTGCACAAAATTTATTCTGTTTATGCGATTCTCTTATGCTGACTGGCCTGACATTATACTATTGACTAGTTCACACACTATGGGTCGTTAATGCCCAGTCGCTTGATCCCTCCGTAACACCTTCCGACCATCATGCCGCAATCCTACCTTGATCTCGTCCGACAGTGCGACAAGCAAGTTTTCTTTTCCTGCCGGTGGTGGCCTTTGCGACTGACACGCTGTTAGTTTCCCTTACTATGCAGACAGCCCCCAACTGTACCACGAGGCCAAAAAGCAGTTCTATGAGTTCCGCGTCAGTGATTGCGACCGGCTTCTCGGCCACATTCCCGCCACCGTTATACAGAATGTCCAATGGCCCGATGGCTGGACCATAGACCACGTCAACAAGACCGCCACTTTGGGGTCAGAATACCCCGGAATAGCCTCCGTGCGATCTGAACTGCTGGCCCAGACTATGCACCAGATGGCGGAAATGGACGATTTCTCCATTCTCAAAGGCTGGCGAAACGAGACCTTCCCGGTCTACGGACCAAGGGGGGAGACGCTGCTGGAAATAGAACGGTCGGGCAGCGCTCTCTTTGGTATAGTCACCTATGGGGTTCAGTTGACGTGCTACATGGAAGACGAGCATGGCCTTCGTATCTGGATCGGGAGACGGTCGAGGTCTAAGCAGACATATCCTGGTATGCTCGATAGTACGGCCGCCGGCGGACTCGGAACTGGTCGATTACCCGGGCATGCAGTCGTGCGAGAAGCAGTGGAGGAAGCCTCTTTGCCAGAGTCGGTGCTGGAAAAGGGCCTACGGGCTGCAGGGTATCTGTCGTATTATTGTGTTCAAGGGCCTCAGTCCGGCGGCGCAGATGGACTGCTGCAGCCCGAGGTGGAATATGTCTATGAGTTGAAGCTCGATGCCAATACAATCCCAGAGCCTGGAGATTCAGAGGTGGAAGAGTTTCACCTATGGACCGTTGACGAGGTTGGAAAGGCGCTGAAAAGAGGGGAATTTAAACCTAATAGCGCGATTGTCTTAGTGGACTTTTTCATTCGACATGGCATTCTGACCCCGGAGAACGATCCGGACTTTCTGGAAATCGTGTCACGACTTCATCGTCGACTGGAGTTCCCGATTTCCACTGCTCCGTTAACATGATAGACGTGCATACTTTACGGATTGGCTCGATGTCATAAAGCAAGCAGTGTTGAACAAGGACGTTCTTATATTGTTACATTTTCCTCTCTCCTTGAATTGTGGTCCGTAGTCAAATCTAGTTAAAGGGTCATAGAAAGGGAATACAAGCTATGTCAATCTCTCTCACAGAAGCATATACACGTGAGCTTGAATGTTAAAACAAGTATTATACTGTTCTGTCCAACGATTGCGCCATACACAGCTCATGATAAATTCCACCTCGTTGCTGTAATTCCTCTAGGCAAGAGCATGCCCAGCATCTGGAGGAGCGTCTTCGCCTAGTCGAGGTGGAGCTACGTGGCCGCAAAAGTGTCGGAGCGGCGCCGGACCCTCGCCCTCAAGCAGAATCTCACGCGGACACAGTCGCGGTGTATAAGGGATCTTCTTCCTTTGCAAACCAATCTATTCAAGCAACCGAAGCGTTCCAGGGAACAAACTACTCGGACGGCACAGTCGACGGGTCAAACTTTGATGCGTCCTTCCGTCATCTCCAGGACCTTCTCCGACCATCCACTACCTTTAATGACTACCGGTTCTCTCGCAAATGTCGGCCCCCAACCGGCAGGGCAGATGACATTGCTTCCAGTCAAGCTCATCGTGGCTATCTTGCGAAAGATTAAAGGTAAGATTCCGTGTTCAAGAACGAGTGCGCGCTGTAAAAAACGATCCGTTGTGTGTCGCTGACGACCTCGGCAGTGCAACCGCCTGTTTTCCTCTCGTCCTATCTCTTGAATGACGCGGACTGGGTGGAGCGGATATGTCAAAAAGTCTACTTTCCTACTGATGCTGTTTCCTTGGGTGAGCTTACCAGTATGCACGGGGTAATATACATCTTCCTTTGTGAATTCATCCTCCTAAAAGACCCCCTATGTGAGGCATTTGATCTCAAAAAGTACGCAGAGACGTGCCAAAAAAATTTCAGCCTTGGAATCGAGACATATGAACTCCTAGTCGTGCCACGGTTTGAAAATATCTTCTCATTAGCCCTAGGGGTTGGTGCTGCTCCTATCCCTCTGAAGATGTTGAGGCACGAGCCACTGACTTTGAGCAGGGAATCATATCCCAGGATCAGGGAAACCCTTTACTATCCTCGACAATGTTTGGGGCAGCGGCAAGGAACCTCCAAATACTGGGGTACCATCGCGAGACCATGTATTAGAACAGGCTCGCAGCCCACGCCGAAAACATGCGTCGACTGTTCTGGACCGTCTACACGTTTGACCGGAATGTCGCCTTGCTCATGGGACGCGCCTTGTATCTGCAAGATATTGAAATCGATACACGTCATCCGGAAATCTCCGCAGACCCCGCTGTTAGACCGTGGGATGAGTCCTTCATCATGGGCATCAAGATGGCTCGGCTCTAAGGCCAGATATACGGTCGGCTATATTCTACCGTGGCACTGGCAGCCGACCCAGCTGTACGAGCCCAGCACATCAGGGAGTTGGCTACCGAGCTCCACCGATGGTTTTTCGAGCTAAAGCGGGTAGGTATCAGATTCACCTGTCTTCAGAGGGCGTCCAAATAATAACGCCCGCCCTAGATCGATGGAAGCCAAGTGAATTACCCACAAATCTATCAGCTGTCGCGAAAAAACTGGGACATTCTCTACTACTCCAGTCTAACATCCACCCTGCGAGCGTCATCCACATCTGGGTCTGGCTCGGATATCAATTCAGATTGCCTCAAGGCAGCTCGATTGGCTCTATATGGGTATCTTGATTGTATGCCTGCTTATGATGTACCGGGATACCTTTCGAGTGTCGAATATGCCAATTGGTGAGATATGAAATACCTTCTATAAGAGTAGATCGTGCCCTAATACTCACAGAATGTTGGCATCGTCATCCTTCACGCCCTTTCTGGTAATTTTCCTGCATGCTACTTCCGCGAATAGCTGGTCGGATCTAGAGCTTCTGGATCAAGTAGTATCATCGCTGGAGCGCATTCGTTCGGCGTCCCGGGCATGCAAGCGCCTCTACCAAATATGTGCGACCTTTGCGCGACTGGCCCGAGGTCTTATGCAGACCCACGGCTTTCATTTTGGGACATATACTGACTGCGACGGTACGCTTCGGTTCCTCAATGGTGTCGGCGAAACGTCTATCTTTCATCCAGAGTCAATCCAGGGTGTCTTCGACTCAGAAACAGTCGATTATCTGACGGCCGCAGAGGCCAACGACATGACGTCCATTCTGGGAAGTTGGGCAAGTGGACAGCCACTGGGAATGGATTCATTTGGCTTCAGCGAATAGATACTCCACGCCATAGACCAGGGCCGCCTCTGTACTAAATAGAGACCTGCAGATCCTCTAATTGATGAGTCCCTTAACATCACGCTAGTATTGCGAGCCAGCAAGCCACGAAGTATTCTCCACGTACAATATTCATCATCAAATACATAAACTAATTGCAACTCAAATACGTATGACCTACCAAAGATAGGGACCCAAAGTAGGCACCAGCCAGTCAATTCTTTGAACAGGAAGATTAACACGACGCTAATGTGAATCTAAAGACTCGAACCCTCGGTGGGTTTATCGCGTGGCGCGGACTCGCGGAACCGAGGGCATAGAAAGTGTCGGCCTGGGACAGCAAGATGATCATGAAGTATGAAATAGTTGACTGGCCAGTATGACGTGGCCTTATTTTCGCACTGTGTAGTATGGAAGCCTTGATTTCCAAATTTCTTTCCATTCAGTTCTGGCGGATCCTTTCACAAAAACATAGCTGCCTTGCCTAGAGTCCGCCTTATCATCCTCGCCAACCCAACGTGCCACGGACAAGCATCAGCAGAAAGAGAACTCTCTCCTTCACCCAGATCCCGGCTTTTTGACAAAAACTGTTTGAAGAGTCTCCAAAGGCGAAAATATGTCGGTAGGTTACTCTTGTCCCCAGGTACGAAGAAGACGCAACGCGAACTAATCATGTGTTCAATCAAGATCCCTTCAGGGTACGTCAAGTCTCCTACCGTTCCGTGAAATGTTGTCAGAAGATATTAATCTTAGGCATAGTGTGAGTATCACCGACGAATGTCTCGACGCATTCCAAGTCCTACGCAGTGGACGTGGCTGCAATAAGCTCCAATATTTGATTTTCAGAATCGCCGATGATGAATCGTCTGTGGTGGTCGAAGATTCCTCCTCTGAGCCTAATTACGAGGTTTTTCGTCGGAAGCTATCATCGGCAGTAGATGGTCAAGGACGACCGATGCCGAGGTACGGGGTATACGACGTAGAGTATGATCTTGGTCAAGATGGGAAAAGGTAAGAGCTCGCCTGGGAAACCGACTGCATGTGAGTTGACCAAGATATACACAGGGCCAAGACGGTCTTCTTCACATGGGTCCCACAGAACACCCCATTGAAGGTATTTGTTGTCTCAATTGCTACGGTCCAATGCTTGAGAAGTTAACCTTTATTTAGCTGTGCATGATGTATGCCAGCACCAACGAACAACTGAAGAATGCGCTGAATTTGAAGATCTTTATCCATGCGGATAGTGCCGACGAGTTGGAATGGAAGAATGTATTGAACCAAGCAAGCGGAGGGAGAGTATAACCATAACGTGTGTGCGGGAAGGTTGGAGATGGATGGCAATTATGAAGCTGCTGTGCATGATTTTATTGTGGTGAAACTGAGTAGAAGAGATCTAGACAATGAATTTTCCGAATGTCGGTTCATTCACCCCAGACTGTAGCTACTTCTTTCACTCCCACTCCAACTCTTCGACCGCGTCGCATCGATTTCTCATGCAACATGGTATCTTCCGGGTCGGGCTCAACGCTCCGGAGATCTCGCTGTCCGTTGCGCAGAATCTGTGCCAGAGTCAAAGACTGATATATGCCCACACGATAACCGATTCGGTCCAGGCACTGGACAATCCACGCCCATGTCTCGGAGTCGCAGACTACCGAATTGGCCACAATGAATAACGGCCACATGAGGCGGTACATACCGGCAGCGGGGGAGCTATTTTGTTGATCGCCAGTGCCCATAACCCAAGGCGCACTGGCGCAGATCTCTGCGACCAAGTCCCGTGAGATGGCAACGCTTTGCATACAGGTCCACGCGTGTTCGGGATGTAAAGTGCCCAGGTAGACCTGCAGTTGCTCACAGAACTTGATGGTCATCTCGTGCACCACAAGACGCACAATACGGTAGTTATTCCATAGATGATGGGCGGAAATGTCGGGATAGACATGATACTGGGTCACATCTGGCGGTAGACAGAGACCCGACTCGCGGGCGTCGGCCACGTTGCATCGCGTGAATCTACAGCTCGGATGCACAGTTCGCGCCCACTGAACGAGCTCGGCGTCAATCTGTCCGGCTGTTTGCAATACGGTGCCCGGGTCTCGGAGCGATCCATCGCGCAAGGCAGCGCAAAGGTTTCCCACGCGCGCAAAGAGAACGAAGAATACGTCCTGCGCACGATCCACCAACGTGCGATGGGATATGGCCTCATGTGAGATATCAAGAAGCCACTCCGGCGTGTACTGCCGGCGATAGAGGTTACCAAGGACCTGTTTATAGACACATTAGCATTCGCTCCTCCCGCATTCAAGGCGTCATGTCACGTACGATCTGAAGGCGGAGCTGACTGAACATGTCCAGGCCAGCTGGGCGGTCCAGCTGCGATGAATCACGCAGCTCCAGCAGCTTCGTCGCACCGTCTACATGACTCAACCAACGATTGATGATTGACGTGCTCTGACACGTCACAACACCATACATGGCCAGCAGAATGACGGCCGCAACGGCGGCGTCGGTTCGGCAGCACCGCGGGTCCCGTAGCGCCGCGTTCGTCGCCGCCAGGGCAACGCTATACTCTGCCCGTGCGGCGAGCACCAGCCGGGGCGGCCGATGAATATTCGCCAGAGATGCCAGTCCTAAGGCATGAATGGCCGGAGTTAACAGATTACCATTGTCTATGGGTAGTAAGTCGGTCAAAAAGACAAGACTACCTGCCGGTAGGCTTGAACCTCCGCGCACATAGTGTGTGAAGATAAAGTTAGCGGCACGCTCGTGAATAGAGATGCTGAGGGATTCAATTTGGTCGGTCGGCCGCGATATAAGGGTCAGAGCGTCGATCCCATCACGCCGACAAGCCCTTTCTGTGATCCGCTGGCTCTCATCATGGAAGCGAATCGCTTCTGGATCACGATAACCGGCGCATTGACAGCCAGCACGCATACACTGGGAGCAGGAGGGCCGTTTCAAGTCACACTCGATTTTCAGTTAGTATTTGGAACGCTGGTCAGCGTTTCAGGAATAGGGAAGAAGCCACACCTTCAATCGGCGACTTCGGCACCGTCCGCAACCAGCGCTGGGCCGGCCTCGATAGACCATCACACAGCGCCGAATTATGTTGTTAGGCCGACTCCAAAGCTTAGCGAAGACCTTGTATCAGAATCCAACACGCTATACCACAGGAAATGTCAAATAAGGGAAATGAAGGCACGACGGACTGCTAGTACCTCCATTGGGGAACGTGGCAGGATTTGGCCCCAACTCCTCACCGGTGGAGCCTCAGCCTGCCTACAGAGTACTAGTGCGTGAACAAGTCCAGAAAGTCCCAAGTGGGCCGTGTCTCAGTTCATTGGTGCTGATGGTGCTGAAATATCTTGTATGTATCGTCTACTCCGGAATTCTATACTTGCTGTCCGGTGAGCCTCAGGCAGCGGCGCCAGCCCGTGTTGGGCGTCTGACGTCATTAAGCGAACTAGCCAGTCAGCGCCTTTGTTTGGGCTCATCTTCTCTCTCTCCAGTCTCGATGGACTTTACCGACTTTATTTCGCCCTCGCTCTTCCTGCACGCGACGCCAATCGACGTGCAGCAAGTCGGCATGTCTCCTGTTGGCTCCATAGCGAGAATGCGATCAAAGTCCGGTTGTCGAACATGCAGGTAAATGCCTTTCTTTCCCCCTATCCACAACCACAACCCACTAACTGACCACCGGGAACTAAGAACTCGTCGCGTCAAATGTGGGGAAGAACGACCGGAATGCCATCGATGCTCAAGCACTGGCCGCAAATGCGACTACGTCGCCCTAATGGCACTTCATCCAGCACCTCGAGCGTACTCGATCGAGACTTCTCCCGTGCAGCGGGAACGACGGGCATTCGAGTATTACTACTATCGTGCCGCTCCTGCTCTCTCGGATGCCTTGGACCTCTCCTTTTGGCGAGGCGCGGTACTCCAGATCTCGCGCTCGGAGCCGGCAGTCTGGGACGCCGTGGTGGCGCTGAGTACCTTCTATCGCTTTCCCGTTGACCTACAGGCTGGTCTGCCCCAGTCCCTCGGCCAGGCGCTTCTTCCGCGAACTCGATCCCAGCAGGAGGGCTTGGGCTGGTACTCCCGCTCACTGACGAGCATTCAGTCCCGTATTCTGCGAGGCAAAGCCGATCTCGCCGTCGCCCTCGTTAGTTGCGTCCTTTTCCTGTGTATTGAGGTCCTACAGGGCAATGTGCAGGCAGTCATGGCCTTGTACCGTCATGGAATGCGGTTAATTCTTTCTGCATCGACCGAGCGCTTGAAGCACTTTGTCCCACTGGGCTTGGCGGCAGGCGTGTTTGAACGTCTGGGCCCATTGGCTCAGATGATGGGAGGCCTTTCATACCTACCCGATCACAGTACGATTCTCGCCAACGTCCAAGATGTGCATGTCTCTTTGGGTGCTGCTCGAGATACGCTTTACGCTCTAGTGACGAGATGGAAGAACCTGGACGACGACTGGAAAGCGGTTCGTCATGATGCCAATACGAGACAAGCTGCTGGGCCAGGAGACATGTTTCGCTCACGCCAAAGTTCCCTGGAACACAAGTTCGTGGCTTGGTATCAACGATTCAAGTCGATGGATGAGGTGGCTCGATACATCGATGGCTCTAACCCAAAGTCTGGCCCTCTTGCCCTGCACGAGGGGATTATCGCGTCGTTGCTGATTACATACACGACCTTCCTCCTATCTACTCAAACCTGCCTTAGTCTCAGCGAGTCTGTGTATGATGCTTACGAGTCAGAGTTTGCCCAGATCGTGGCCCATGCTCCGGTGGCCCTGACTGCCACAGCTATGGAAGACGGTCATCAACCCCCCTTTGTTTTCGACATGGGCGTTGCGATGCCGCTTTTTGTCACAGCGCTGAAATGTCGGATTCCGTCACTGCGTCGGCAGGCTCTGGAATTGCAGCTCCGCGGGCCTCCTCGACAAAGCCTATATGTAGGTGCTTCGGCCGCTGGGCTGCTTGCTGCCCTCATCGTGCTGGAGGAAACCCCGGATTCGACAAGTGAGATTCGGGCGACAGAATTATGGTCTCGCCCAGGATGTGTTCCACGGGAGGAAAATCGTGTCGTTGACTTTTCTCTTATGCCAGTGGGGGCCCATACACGAAATTGCATTCAATACTCTCGCTGGTGTGGTAGTGGAGAGGAAAGAAAACTCGTTCACCACGTGGTGGCGCTGACTCTAGAGCGTCTGACGCCTCCATTTACACTTCCACGTGGGTTGTCGTGCTCTTAAGACGTCCGATGGTATGAGCAACAGATTTATGAAGGCAATTACGAATTCCATCTCATAGAGTCGGATTAAAGAATGATCCCGATGGCGCCTCACTGATCTTTCGCCAATAGGCAGCCATATATGATTTAGATCTTTAAAATATCGTCCACTCGAACAAGCTCCCCTCTCTGCATCGAGAGGTTCGCAGCGATGCCCGTCAGAATCGAACGCGCCCCATCAATATGTGTGGCAGCTCGGCGCCACTGATCCACCGGTGCATCTCCAAATATATCATTCAATAGCTGTGGATCGCCTCCGCCATGGCCCCCCGATCCGTGTGGTACCTCGATCTCGACTGGCTTCCCAAAAGTTGGGCGAAGCAGGATAGATCGGCTCTCTAGAGCGCCCTCCAGAGACTGCTCACCACCCGAGTTGACATACGACTGCTCAACCACCTCCACTTCTAGTCGTCCTTGGCTGCCGTTGAAGCAAACCCGGAAGCCCTCCCACGGGGCGTACGCGGTTAGGCTGTAGGTTAGCACGGCACCAGAACGATACCGCACCATCACACCCATCGTGTCTTCGATGCTGATCCCGTCCCCAAAAACGCTCTGGTCCCGATAGTATTCATCCTCCTTCTCGGCGTCCAGATACATCGCCTTCAGTTGTTCATTCTGATCCAATTGCAAAGCGAACGGGTCGTCGCGGGCGTTTTCGCTCCCATGAGCGCGCGAGTAGAATTTGGTGACCCCACGTTTCTCTGCGTTCTCCTTCCCATAGAACCGCAAGTCCCCCATGGCGACGACCGTCTCGGGGTGGCTCTGCAGCCAGAAATTAATCAGATCGAAGTGGTGCGTCGACTTGTGTACCAGGAGGCCGCCGCTGTTCCGTTTGTCCCGATGCCAGCGCCGGAAGTAATCGGCCCCATGCGACGTGTTGAGCATCCACTCAAAATGCACCGAGTTGATCTGACCAATCGCTCCCGACGAGAGAAGCTCGTATATCTTCGTGTTGTGCGGCGCGTAGCGATAGTTGAAGGTGACACGCACGCGCCCTCCGGTCCGGTCAACGGCGTCGAGAATCTGTCGGCAGCGCGGGGCGTCGATTGTCATCGGTTTCTCGGTGATGACATTACAGCCCTGATCCAGAGCTCGCACGATGTACTCGTTGTGCGTGCGATCGATGGTTGTGACAATAATCTCATCGGGCTTGGTCTCTTGGATCATGCGGTCGAAATCGCTGGCGAGGTACGTGGGGACGGCGGCGTGACCCAGTGCCTCCAGGCGGGAGATGGCATACGCCATGCGAGTGGAATTACTGTCGCAGAAGGCCACCAGCTGGGCCGTAGAAGAAAAGTCGGTGACAAGGGCTGAGTAGAAGAATATCGCACGACCGCCCGTGCCCACGATGGCGTATCTCTTCATCTTGGCGGGTAGTTTTGTAACTGACGAGCGCGTCCAAGGATTATGGCAATGCCAGGAATGACAAGCTCCGTGGCGCGTATATAAGAGGCGTCGGGCTGTTTTGGCCCGAGGTGCAGATCGCAGCCCTGGCTGATGACAGCCAAGGCTTCTTTTTTTCCGTCAATCATAACGAAGGCTGTCAATGCGGAGAAATCTGGGGGACGTGGGGGTGAACCCAGAGATGTGCGCCGATCAGAGCGTGATACCACTTGCCATTTACCCTACAGCCTATTCTAAATCATGCTGGTGGTCGGGACATTCCAGTCCGGTGGCCTGTATATAACCGGGAGTGGACCGGCAGTGGTGGTGATCAGAGACAACGCAAGAAGTTCGCCTTCTCCTTTATTCCTGTCTGTCTCAGTCCAGCATGGCCCATCCCACTTCGCAGGATGCCATCACGGTAGAACCCGTCGAGAATGGCCGGGATCCCACCACGGAAAAGGCCGCTCAATTCCTCGCCAGTGTCGGGGAGCATCATACGTTCACCGTGGAGGAAGAGAAAGCAGTGTTGAAACGCATCGATCGACGCATCCTGCCTTTAATCCTTGGTGCTTATTTCTTCCAACAGCTCGATAAGTCTTCTCTCTCCTACGTCTCCATCTTCGGCATTGTGGAGGACGCCAACCTCCAGGGTCAGGAGTATTCCTGGTTGGGATCCATCCTCTACTTGGCCCAGCTGGTAATGCAGCCCCTAGCGGCCTTTCTGCTCGTCAAAGCACCCACGGGCAAGCTGATTGGGTCTGCTATTTTCCTCTGGGGAAGCTCCTTGACGATCATGGCTGCTTGCACCGATTTCAAAAGTCTCCTGGGCCTTCGATTCGCCTTGGGGTCCTTCGAGGCGATGATCGGTATGTTCGCACCCACCAATGCTGTGAAGTTTGGCTGACCTTCAGCCCCGTCATGCGTTGCCGTCACCCAGATGTGGTGGCGCCGAAGTGAGCAGACGATGCGCACAGCCTGGTGGAACATGATGAACGGCGTGACCTTCATTGTAAGTATACGTCCCCGGCCTTGAATCCTAGCGATATTGATATCCCGGTTGCAGGTGGGAAGTCTGTTCACCTACGGGCTCGGGCACATTCACAGCGACGTTCTCTTCTCGTATCAGATCATTTTTATGTTCTGTGGGCTGCTGACAGTGGCCTACGCCTTTGTCGTGCTGCTTCTTATGCCTGACTCGCCCATGGAAGCGAAATGTCTCAACGAACGCGAGAAGGTCATCGCAGTCGAACGGCTGCGGGCCAATCAGATGGGGATCATCTCGCGGCAATGGCGCTGGGACCACGCCCGGGAGACGCTGTATGATATGAAGACGTGGTGTTGGTTTTTCTTGATCGTTGCGATCTCGTAGGTCCTCCGTACAGCCCCGGAAACTAGCGCTAACGACCCCCAGGATCCCCAGTGGTGGTATCAGCACTTTCGGCAACCTGATCATCAAGTCTTTCGGGTACAATGCCTTCCAAACCATCCTCTTCAACATCCCCTTCGGCGTCATCCAGGTGGTGGCCATCCTGGGCGGCGGTTGGCTGGCGACGCGATTCCAACGCAAAGGACTAGTCATTGTCGGTTTTGCCATGATCGCCGCCGTCGGCACCTTGCTGATGATTGTCGTGCCGCGAGAACAGAAGGGGGTGTTGCTGTTCGGATATTATCTGGTACGTGGCTCGCTCTTCATTACCCACATACGTCTAACGAAACAGGTCTCCTGCCTGGCGGCCATCACGCCCTTGGTCTACGCATGGGAGGCGCAGAACACCGCCGGCGACACGAAGCGAAAATGCACCTCGGCGGTGGTGCTGATCGGCATGTGTACGGGGAATGTAAGGATCGGTTTCAACTATGACCTATGGGGATGCGAGACTAACGAGCGCAGGTCATCGGCCCTCAGCTGTATTCCACCTCGCAGGCCCCCTTGTACCGGCCGGGACTGATCTCGAATTTGATTCTGTTTGTGATTGTCGCCGGGATCGCCATGTAAGCGCCGTTCATCGTCCCGTGGAAACTCTCGCTCACTCACTCACCTTCATAGAATCACGAACTTGTATCTTGTCTTCCTGAACAAGAAACACGCGAAGAAGCGCGAGGCGCTGGGCAAATCGGCCCGGATTGTCGACGAGTCCATGATGACGCAAGACAAGCGGGAGGCCGGTAAGGCCGTGGAGTTGGAGGACGTGACGCCGCCAGCGGCTGAGGACAAGGGTTTCCTCGATACTACGGACTTGAAAAACGAGGACTTCATTTTTGTTTACTAAACCAGGCTAGCAACAGAAAGAGGGGTAGTTTGGGAAGACAAGATCCCCAGGGATTACGGTCGATGTAATTGGCATTGGAATTAGTATATTATCGTAGAAGCTCTATGGATATCGTGAACGTCATGAAGTGCGTCTCGTCAGTTGGTGGGGGGGGGGCGCCAAGCCATGCCTTGCGCAGACGTTGCCTCAGGATCTCTCTCCCCAGTAGAAGGGGGCAACCGCCGTGCCCGCCCGGGTCGAATGGACTTGGCATTCGCCCCCTTGGCTGCAAGGGGGCGATGCTTGGCGATCGGAATGATACGTTTCATCCGCACGGCCGTTGACTTGTCCGGCCTCTGGTCCGCGACGGGCGGAGGCAGGGGCCAAGAAAAGGATCAGTCAAAAGGGGCCCATCCGACCTCATCGCACGTCGACGTGCAGGTCATCGAGCTGTGCCGGACCGGACTTGGGCGAAGGGGCGGGATGATGCAGATCGGAGGCGACGCGGGCGGCGTCGACAAAGGAGGGCGTGCGGCCAGGTCCGGCGGGGAACGGAGAGCGCCAGACGTGCTGATGCGCCATGAAGACCAGCTTTCCCAGGACGGCGATCTCCAGCTTGAGCTTGATGCTGTAGATGGTGGCCTTCAGGGTGGTCTGGTAGATGTAGAAGTTACGGAACTCGATGATCATCAGGGCGATATCCATCAGGATACAGACCAGGTTGACGGCGAACAGCTGCAGGATGGTCTTCTGGGTGGCGCGGTCGGGATTCAGCTGCAGCATGCGGTTGGTCTCCCACATGTACAGGCCGGACAGGATGACCTCCTGTAGGCAGAAACCGGTCAGCTGCACCTTCTCCATGATGTCGTAGCCGCGCACGGTTGTGGGCGAGGTGTTGAAGTTGGCCATGTAGGTCAGGACGGTGGTGGGGACGTGCAGGAAGAAGACGTTCAGGATGATCATGGTGCGCACGACGCGCAGCACGCGCAGGTCGCGCAGGACCAGATGCAGGCGCGAGTACAGCACGAAGGACTGGCCGGTGACCATCATCCACCAGCCGACGGTCAGCAAGGTGATGGGCAACCAGGTGACCGGGGTCAGGGCGAAGAACTTCATGAGGTAGCCGACGGAGTAGGGCAGGACGCCGATGGCGGAGACCAGCATACTCCAGAAGTAGGGCCCTTGGTAGCGCTTGAAGGTCAAGAAGATCAGGTTGATCAGCTCGATGACGTTGTACCAGGCGACGGCCACGAAGGTGGCGATGGCGATGCGCACCCCATCGCTGTCGCCGGTGTAGCTGCCGGTGATCCAATGTCCAGGACTGGCCGAGCTGTTCGAGGACATGTGGACCAGCGACAGGGAGGGGAGGGGAAAGGGAGGAGAGGGAAAAGAGAGAGGACCGCGAAGAAGAGGGCCGAAGTAGAGTCAATGTGATAGATAAAGGAAAGCGAAGAATGTCTATCGGGGGACTTGTGGGATGGAATGGGACGACGGATGGACTCTGCGGGGGAGGAAATGAGAAAAACAGAAGGCGAGTGGAGCCCGCCGATCGCTTATTGGCGATGCTCGCCAGCGGTGAACTGGATCCTTTCTACATCGAAGTGGAGCGAGGGATCGAGAGGACTCCATCTGGATGGGTTGATGGGTTGACGGTACGTACAAGGCAGAAGATGATGATGAAGTGGATGGAGGTTGAAGACAGGAAGAGAAGAGAAACAAACAAAAAGGCAAAAAGGAAATCAACCATGGATGCCCCAGGCTGCGGCTGAGTCACCCGCGCTCGGTCCACCTGCCCTGTCCCGGCAGCCATACCTTCCTCTTCCGCTCTCTCTCTCTCTCTCCATCTACCCGTCCGTCCTCGTCCACACCCTCGCGTGCTTGATCTCCGCTCCCTCCAACGCCTCCTTGATCCGTCCGAATTCCTGGTATCCCGCCGACTCCGCAAAGTCCACATGCTGCTGCACCTCCGTCCAGCCGCTCAATAGCACGAATTCCTCCTTGGTCGCTCCCCCTGCCGTCGTCTCCTGCGGCTCGATGCGCCATCCGCCGAGTGCTGCTTGCGGCGCCGCAAACTGCTGCAGGTGCCTTTTCGTCGCATCAAAGGTGCGGCGAAAGTCCTCCTTCCGACCGTCCGCGATGAAGTAACGGCCGATTGCCAGGACCGGCGCGTCCAGCGGCACGCGCTCGTCGGGCTCCGGTGCGTCTGGGCGACTCGCGCCCGCCGGGGCAATTCGTTTCCAGTCGCCCGGGTCAATGTCCACATGAATCATCCAGCACACCTCGACCTGGTCCTGTAGCGCCGTCAGCAGCCTCTGGTTGGCCTCGCTGGCGATCCAGTCCCGCATGTGCGTCGCCGTCGACGCCCATCCGCCTACGATATAGACGTAGGAAGGGTCTTCGATCTGAGTGAGGAGATAAACGGGGAAGGTGGAGTAGGCGGCCTGCGCTTCGATGGCGGCCAGCATTCCCGACCGCGTGGTGGAGTCGTCGGGCGACTTGAGACGCACGAGCGCCAGCTCCGTAATAGCCATGGTCACGACAAGATAACTAAAAAGATCATGATCAAGATGCAATGATGGTTCTCGCGATGGACGAGAACCATCCGGATCGTAGGTCGTATTTGTAGCCCGTGGTGGCAGCAGGCATCGCCGACTGACGCGGCTCCGGGACTGTAGGCCTCCAGCCTGATGACGTCCCCATTTTCCTAGTCGGGCATCGGCCCCCGAGCTCGCAAGGTTTTTGGGGCCCTAGATCAAACTCATGGATTAATGATAATTTTGTCTGAACCATGGTAGTACTTCTGCACGATCGTCACATTGTGGGATGGGGAAGTCGTTCCTCTCGTGGTTCGAGTTATATATATACTCCCACCCGAGGCCCTTGTTGACGTATAGACATGCTACCACGACTTGCCATTGCCTAGCTTAGGTTTTTGGCCTGGTTCCAACCGTAGCCACGATACGCTATATTTTGGAATCGGAGAGACTGAAAACAGAATCTGCCCGGAAAAGCACAGAAGAGTGTGGATACTGACAATTTCACGGACTAGAGAACATAGGACTAGAACGACACATCGACCCCGGAAACCCGACCTACTCAAACTCGGCGTCTAGAGGGTTGCGCAAGATCTTGGCCGGGAACTCGTCTTCGCCGAGAGTGGTCGTATGGGCCCAGGGCTTCACCCGAATCTCCTGGCGCACCGTATTGGCAAAGCAGCCGCCCCAGTGCATTCGGGGGAACTGCTGGTTGACGTCGCGGACCGTGTCAGGATGCACCAGCTGCGAATGCATGCCGGTGTTGTCTGCTGCACGTTAGCCAGTTCCGGGTCGTCCAACTGGACGGAGAGAGGACGGTCCACCCACCAAAGATGGTCGCCAGCTGGATCAATTGGCCCACGGCCGTGATCGACCCGACCTGACAAAGATCCTGATGCCGAATGATCGCCTCCGCGACACTCTCGGCCTGAGCCGTGGGGCTGACGGCCGATGCCTCGGACCCGTCATCCGCCCGCTGCAGCACGTCCAGGGCCAGGAAGCCGCCGTAGAACTCGAAGCTGAGATGCGTGGCACCAAGGTTCTCCGAACTCGTGCCGATGTCGTGCAGCACGCAGGCGAGGAAGTAGGTCTCGTCGGAGAAGCGCCATTCGGGGAAGAAATGCGACCTGATGGCCAGTCCGAGGTGATAGACGCGCATGCTGTGATGAAAGGTGGGCTGGGGCAGGTGCGTTCGGGCGTAGGTCTGAATGCGATGCGCCAGAGGAGTGTCGGGAATGGGCGTGGCCGACACGAGGGCCGCCGGGGGAGTGCCGCGATGCCACATGGCTTGGTCGATCAGCTTCTCCGCCGAGGACGGCACGGGGGTGAAGCCATATTCCTGGATGGGGTTTGCGGACATGGTGCAGGATAGTGAGGGTATGGATGAATTGCCAGAACGATAGACGATGCAGTTGAGGTCGCAGGAGCGGGCTTTATATGCCTCTCACATGGTTCCATGGATGACGACATTCTTACATCGGGGTGACAGGTTGGAGTCTAGAAGGAAAGCCATGAATCAGAAGCCCTGGAGCAAGCCACTTGGGAGATGTCTGTGTACAGAGGAGAGTACGGCGTACGGAGTAACTAAAGCTATAACTAGTTAGTTAACTTAAGTTGACAGAGGATTAGTCACCGCCGGGTCCCGATTAGGCAGTTGATCCAGGTGGGGCCGTCTTGGTATCGACCGCCAATCACCAGTGACCAACGTCCTGCTGAGTCATCGTTCTCTGTTTGATTCGATTTCCTCCACCTTCTTCTTCCTCCTACACTTCGGCCCCGGTTCTAGAACCGAAGACGCCACGAGGAGTGGCCTATCTACTGTCTGTGGATCACAGGAGTCGACCGGAATGTTGGACACCGACGCGCTTTTGGACGCATTCCCCAAAGCGGAAAGATGAAGCTATTCCCGTCGCGCCTATGTGGCCCCTGCTGGACGTCTGCCTACTCGGTACTCACCTGTACCAGCAAGGCATCACTCGTTTATCACTAGTCACTTTATCTTCGTCCTTTTCACTCAAGTCCAACGTGTGCGATACGAGGCTGATAACGCCCCCAAATCCTGGTCGCGCTCGGTCGGCACCCGACCGGCCACGGAACGCCCGAAGGCCGAGGATATACATCGTACGGGATGTACATATTGCGACCCTTGCGACCCGTCCCCGGGACGCAGCCATTGCTTGATTCCATCTTACTCAGTGAGGAATTGTCATTCAGCTGGATCTACACGACATGGAATCCTTCAAAGTCCCGTCCGTCACGCTGTTTCGCGGCTTCCCCGAGACCGGGTGTTACACCTGGTCTCCCTTTGTCACCAAGTTAGAAGCCCGTCTGCGCTTCTCCGGAGTGCCATACTCGGTCGAACAGGGCTCCGTGCGCCTCGCCCCCCGCGGGAAGATCCCTTACGTGGCGGTTGCGGATAGCGACGACCCCTCGGGGGGCAGCACACCGCGGTTTATCGGCGACTCGACCCTGATCACTAAGACGCTGATGCATGGTGGTGTGCTGGCGGACCTGGATGGCCACCTTCCGCTGACGGAGAAACTCAACGATCTGGCGCTGAAGGCCTTGTTGGAGGACAAGCTGTATTTCTACCAGGTGGGATGTTGCTGGACAATGCGCATCGGTTGTCTCGGGTGTTGACCTTCGATCATCTAGTCCCACGAAAAGTGGATTCGGAACTTCTACACCATGCGCGGCAAGATCCTGGCCGACCTGCCCTGGCCCCTGCAGGTGCTCGTGGGCCATCTGATCTACCGTAAAAGCACGCGCACACTGCAGGGCCAAGGGACTCTGACCTTCTCGGACGACGAAATTGCCGTCTTCCGACTGGAAATCTGGGAGAACCTCAATGCCACCGCCGTGGCTGCCCGGTCGAAGAGCAGCAATCCCGAGGCGCCCTTTTGGATCTGGGCCGGCGAGACGCCCACCGAGGCCGACGCCGTCCTCTTTGGATTTATCACCTCGGGGCTGGTTTGCTACGCGTACGTTACCAGACTCTTCTCTCTCATCAACAGTCTGTTCTAACGTGGCCTCGCTGCTAAAGAGCTCCAGAGACTCAGCGGATCATCCGGAGCTTTCCAGCGTTAGTCGACTACGCATGGAGAATTCACGACCGGTACTTTCCAGATTACGCGCTTTGGGAATAACATCGCAAGGGGAATCGACGCATTTATGCTGCATGCCTGGAGGGCGATATATTGAGATAGCACGAAACATTGCTAGAATACAAATTATTACCAACGGTGGGGTCCGCCCACCCGGACTTATCACAGCCCGGAAATAAGATTTATCGCTGGCTACCACGCCTGACCCAAACTTCGTAGGGTGGGCTATGGCTATCTGGGTAAATGTGCGTCCATGTACATGTTTATATGTGCATGGTTCTACCAGCGGGAGAGGGATCGGGGATTCCCCCGGGATTCCTCGGGTCCAAGCCTTTGATGACATGGTCGTCGACTAGGCCGTCATCTCCTCATACGGACGAGTGCACAAGACCTGTCGATGAGGTCCCAATTTCAACCAGACCCAACATTGCCACACTGGGCTCGCTTGTACCGAACGCCATGACATACGAGCAAATATTTGGCGAAGCAGTCCTCCGCAAAATCGTCGAAGGCCTCGTACGTGGCGCCCAGTCGATAAGCGGCCGCAATGCCGGAGATGCATGCGATTTCGTGCATGTTCTGTCCACAATAAGACTCGATTCACGCGCGCTATTTGAAGTGACTTACCACCATCGTCCAGCTTCCGGCGTATACCGTGTGGTTCTTGCCGTTAATGAACATCATACCCGGCACCACGCGCAGATAATGTTGCCAGCGGTGGCCGAATTGATGCCAATCCTTGCGTGCAATAATCTTGTCCTTTTGAATCCCCTCCCAGGTCCACAGATGCTTGTGCCGATCGTCGAGGAAAATGGTCTGGTAGACGTGTCGGTCGGGTTCCGGAGCCGGGGCATCCTGACCGAAGGCTTCGCGGAACTGGTGCTGATAATGCGTGCAGTCGAACCCCATTTCGATCTTCGTTGGATCCGAGGCATACAAATGCGTGTAGTACATCGGCGCAAATCCCTCCCACCCGTCGCTGCGGGCTCGCGGCGCTTGTCGGGCAAACTCGATCTGACTTTTCCGGGATTCAGTGCTAGCCGACGCGCAAACGTCGGAGGAGTATCGCGTTTGAAACAGGCTGGAGAAGTATTGCGAGTCGCAATGGGTGATGGTCAAATCATTGTAGAATTTGACGCCGCCTAGGACGAAATTCTCGCGCCAGGTGGCGCTGTTCCCCAGCAGGGACTTGGCCTCGTCGGCAGGCACGCAGAGCACCAGCTCGTCGAATGCCTCCGGGGACCCTGTGCCCGAGCCCGGCTGGGAGTCGGCGGGTCGCGACCGCAGCGAAACGCCGCGTTTGTCGCGTCGCAGGATGTCGACCGTGGTGCTAAGACGCAGATCGACGCCGCGGGCGGCCAAGTCGGCCGCCCAGTCACGATAGAAGTCGCCGAGATTGGGAAAAGTAGACATTCCGGGTTGGTTGGGCAGCAGCGTGTCTGGATCGTAGTCCCAGAGTCGCATCTGCGGGTCGTCAAACAACCGCTCCAACAGCACGCTTGACACATTGGGGGTCTGGTTGCCCGTCCCCAGGAACAGCGCCATCAGCGGCAATACCATCTTGTTAGAGAAATCGCGGCTAAACCGGAACAGCTGCAGCAACACTTTGACGGGCATGACCCCGAGAACGGGCATGAAACGTTTGATCCACTTCAACGCGCGACCCAGCTTCCTGATCTCGTCAGAGTACCGATCCACGAGTGGACTGGGAAAGACGTTGGTCCAGAAGCTCTCCGTGCCTTTGCCAAATGAGACCTGCAGTTTGACAGGTTGGGGCTCGTAGCCATATCGACGAAAGAAATTGAAGGTGTGTCGAAAAATGGGCGAGCCGCCCTGCACCCCGTCATTCAGCCATTCGGCGCCGTGGCGAGAACTGTCCAAGGGGATCGAGGTAGCCTGGCCGCCGGTATAGTCCGCAATGTCAAACAGCGAAATCTCAAACCGATCAAGGTGCTTGGCCAAGGTGGAGGCGCATGACTGCGCTTTGCGTTAGTGTTCGATGCACTTGTCCTCGAACTAGAGGGCATTCGGAGATTCTCTGCTTGCCATTCCTGCAGCCCCAGCACCAATAATGGCCACTTTCTTCCTATCCTCATACTCTTCTGACATCTCTGTTGGATTGAAAATATTCACTTTGCTGGGTGCGAATTCCAGGAGCCGTGCCTTGCACCTCGATGCATTATAAAGAAGATCGATCGGGGCAATTCAGGGTTGACGTCATCTCCGACGTCACGGTCGCCGGACTAAGTTAGAAGTGATGTCCATGTAGTTCGCCAAAGAATCCTCGGGGCAAATGCAAGATTTACTTTGACCATCTGAAGACAATGCCAGTGACTATCATCTGTTCCTTATCATGCAGGAGTGGGCGCTGGGCGCTCTTCGCCGTCGCCGAATGAGCGCTGCGATTACACCGACCAACCTTCTACCGTACATTCTATCATCGATGGGCGTGAAACATGCATAAATTGCCATAAGGCTATGTACTATCCCGACATTGAAGCCTTAGCGACTACCGCAAATCTCAGTCTCGCCCACTGTCAATGCGCCCGTGAGAACACAGTTCGGATCAACTTTTTCCTTGAGCGACAGGAGAGTTTCGTAATTGCTGCCCCAAAACCGTACCTGGTAGTCGGTTTCCAGCCGGTTGCCCTCGTTGTAATAAGCATCGCGACCGAAGACTTGGTCCGCTTGGGACATGAGAGACTGTGCGGTAGATTGCTGCACCGAGGTCGTTCCACCGGTCGACGAGGCGAAGAGAGGGATGTCTACATACGCTGCCGAGTTGCGGAAGACTGGATTCACGGAGGTCTGTAGCGAGTCAGGTTTGTAAAGCAGGTATATTCCTAGTCGACTCAATGGGTAACCCTACCGCGTTAGCTGCTGGCTTGTTTACCGCGCCGCCACTCACTGCATATTCGGTCAGTCTTGTTGCGCCATTTCCGTCACTGTCCTTTCTTACCTCATTGGAATATGAAGGGTTGTGTTGCGGGCAAGCTCGCCACGAAGTCCGCAATAGACTGCCGACCATCCTTCGAACTCCACAGATCGTTGGGCACCACGCGGCTGATGTCCATGATATTGACTCCAACCGCAATACCCTCCTCCATGATGGGTCCTACCACATTTTCAAACGCCTGATTCCAGGTCTCAAACTGCAGCCCTTGGATATTTACCGTCACATTGTCAATGGAATTGAGGAAATCAAACGCGCCCAGCGATCTCTCGGCAGACAAGAGGGTCTCATCAGACTGGAATCCTTTCTGGAAGGCGATAGTCAGATTCGGATAGGTTGTTTCCCAAAGGCCCCAACTAAAGCCCGGAACATACTCCGGGTCGCGCTGTACAAACTCCGAGATCAATTTCTGATATGACTTGTCGGCGGCTGAGACCTGTCCCACGACGACGTTGACGGCCTCAAAGGCTGGAGGTGCCTTCACGTAAGTCGCCGTGCTGACAGAAAAGACGCCGCCACCACCGCGCATCGCCCAGAAAAGATCTTTATTCTCGCACTCGTTGGCAACGCTAATGGTACCGTCAACGGTCACAATGTCATATTGAACCACATCTGCATCGCGGTGATGATTATCCTAGCATGCTCGGCAGCCCAACGCGAAAGAAGTCACCTACTATCGGCACCAATGCCAATGACGGGCTGAAAGGTCCAGCAGCGCCACCGCCAAGCGCAAACCCTCCAGCAATACCTACGGTAGGACAGAACCCACCGGTGGTGACGACACCCAGCTTGGCCGCTTCGGCATAAAGGTCCTGCGCCACGACGCCGAGGAGCTGCACCCTGTAAGAACAAAGCTCGGCTTGAGCTGTTCCCCTTGGATCATCCCTTCTGGGGAAAACTCACATTCTTTACTCGTAGTCACAGATTGTGTTTGGCTGCAAACTTCACGGCCTGGCTGACGTGTTCTCCACTCGTCGCTTGCACAAAATACGATCCCAAGGCGCCTAATTCGCACGAGCCGTCTAGCCCCGTCTCCGGCGCGGCCGCAGGGACCGGACAGCCGGTGCCATTAGACGTGAATTCGGTGCTGGTATACATCATCGCAGCCGGAATAGCCTCGCGATAGGCGTCATTTCGCTTATTGGCTACGAGCTCCGCACAGGCAGGCGCATCGAAATGACCGGCATAACACACTCGGCCATAAGGAGGGGGAGCTAGCAAGTTGCCATCCACGGAGCCATTGAACCGCGACAGCTCGTCGGTAGACGGAAAGCAGGCATCGCCAGGAAGACAATACGGCGCCTTTGCCAAGGAAAGAGGGGTCAACGCGAGGACCAGCAGCGATGTGAGAGTAACCATTATATGGTGTGTACAAACCCGAACAGACTGACAGACAGATTGTTCACTAGGATGGGAATGGACTTTCAGTACGCCAATTGCACATGTGCGGCTTTTTATTGCCTCTTTATACTTGCATGGCCCCGATTATTCGTCCACCATTGGAGTTGCTGTCCATACCCCGAGGAAGATAGAAACTCCCTTGAAAGGGCCGGACTCTTCGACCATTTCGATACTAGCTTGGTCCTCTAACAATATAGTTATTTCAATGTCCTAAAATATCCGCCATCCTTTGTGGGCTTTTTAGTAGCAGTGGCTGACAGGGGAATGCGATTAAGCCGGGAAATTACGGAACCCTTCGTTTACCAATCAGTTCGACAACAGGGACATTGACGCATGCTGGTTCATTAGTCTGTCAGTAGGACGTGTTCCTCATGGGATTGGGCAGGTGCTACTGATTCCTGTTACTCAACAAAATGCTTATTTTTGGCTCCAACTAGGATGTTCGGCTAGCTCCTTAGCGTGCGTTGTGGGTCTTCACTTAATGATCCCACTGCGTATTATCAGGCTAGTTATAGTTATATGAACATGCCGTGGGGCAAGTGTTGGTTGATTTGAAAAAATGATTGTTGGAACTACGCAGTGAGTACAGCCAACATACAAGAGAGTAGCATAGTGAAGCACGTTGTCTTATCCACTTCCTCCAGTCTGCTTCGACTCAGTCCCTATCAGGGGTGTCTCTTACTCTGCGACCACAAATGGGGCAACACTGGCCAATTTCTCGCGAGTTTCCGTGAGTTCTCGGTCAGGTTTGGACTGCGTGATGACTCCGGCCCCGGCCTGGACCCACGAGTGATGGTGGTCTTGGAATACGGTGCGCAGAACGAGCGAAGCCTCGAAGGATTCAGGTCCGTCCAGCATCAAGACGGCGCCGGAATATAGCTCGCGGGGCTCGCTTTCTAGACGTTGGATTCCCTCTAGGGCTGCCTGTTTCGGAATCCCCGACGCTGTAATTGAGGGGAAAATGACCGCTAGGGCATCCCATGGGTCCTTGTCTGCTGCCAGCTTACCAGAAACCCGAGATCCTAGGTGCTGCACGCTACCGCGAGCGCGAACGGACATCAAGTCATTTGTCGCTGCCGTGCCAGGCACACACAGTTGCTCCAGTTCCGTCATAGCCTCCTTGACCGAAATAACATGCTCCACGATTTCCTTTGTATCGTGTGTCAACTCCTCCGCCAGCCTTTCCACCTTCTCCGATGTGCCAAGGCGCGATCGTGTTCCAGCGAGCGGTTCGGTGGCCACGATGCCATCCTGGACGGACATTACCAGCTCCGGACTAAAGCCTGTTGCCTGGAATTCGGCCTGGCTGAATGAAAAACTGCGGGCCGGATCGTTGGCCCGTCGACCGCGCAGAAGCGTTGCTGCCATGTCCACACGCCCCGCAAGATGCACGGCACGCGAGGGAATGACCTTAGTATAATTTCCCTCGTCGATTTCCTCCTGCGCTCGCTGAACACGAGCGATATATTCTCCTGTGGGGTCCTTCGTATCAATATTCAGGCAGGGACCCAGTTCGATAGAGGTGTCGCCAATGATAAGTGCCGACAGCTCCTTTAATTCCGCATCGTTGGACCCAGTCAGAGTGACTTGGTCTTGGTGGAATGTGATCTCTGTGCGTGGAACCAGGAGACTTAACAGCGGCCAATGGCCCGACTGAAATGGTATTCCCCGGACGTGGGCGGCGTAATTATACCCAACTTGCCCGAAGGTTTTATGACCGGGTCTAGCGTGATTGGAGAGAAAGTCGCGCGCCGTCTGAGCAAGGGAGCTTTGAACCGGATGTTCTTCACGCCGCGCCCCGGTAATGACCGTAGCAGTCTCTCCTTTGGCGTCGACTAGCAATGAGGCATGGATTCCAAGGCCGAGATACCATGCACCGGTTTGCTCGTAAGCGTAGTAATCATCGCCCTTAAACCTGGCTAAAACCATAGATACCCGTTCTACGAAGTCCTTCTGCGCAGGATTGAGGGAAAAGGAAATCTGAGAGAAAGTCATCTTGGAAGACTAAAACGGAACGGTTGCTGGGAGTTGTGACTTGTTGGGCTTTCCGGAGTATTTTGCTAGGCGATGGCAGTGAGTAGACCTCTTGAAATGAATAGAAGAGCAGAATTTATACGTGAATCGAGATACTCGCCAGTGTTTCTCTTTGCTTGCCACCTTCGCAATGGAAATACACTCATGCCAAGTAATCATGTCATGTTGTGTGTTGCCTGTACGTATTTGATGTCAGTGGCTTCGTGAACTTCATCATCTTCGAATATATTTTGATCAATGTCCATGCCAACAGATTAGTTAGGAAATACTATGCATCACGATCTGGTTCAGTTTCTATCTGAGTGCGCAAACAGCGCCGTCATCCATGCATGAGTCCTGATATAAACTATCGTTTATATCGCAGGTGATCTCTACTTGTCAGCAGGGATGCTGGACAGGCTGTTTAGGCTTTCCACGTTCGTCGGAGCACAGATTGTGCTACCTGAACTATGCAAGGTATACGAGATTCCAGTCTCGCGTCGCCTCCAGAATCTGCTTCATGCGTCAGTTCTTACTACTACCTTCGGTTAGATGAAACTAATAGACCGCGAGGAAAGCATATTTAGAAGGCTTATATATGTTCTGGTAATGATGCAGGTAAAAAATGACGATATTAATGCCACGTCACATCTGTCAGTCGAGGCATCGGGATAAACCCCTTGCATCAGGAAATTTACTTCCTCTGCCCTGGGCTACATTAGGGTTTATGATGACAATCTCACCGCTGACCTTGCCTTCCGAGGGTGCACAATGATTTTTACTCTATCGTAATCCTGCATTAAGACTAGAACAGGGAAGCCTTGTTGGTACATAAATGGAATTCCTTTGGTGAGATCATTTCCATTGCATCTGTGGATACCTGGTATGGAGGGAGAGGCATAAATAAGACATGGTCGATGGTGTCGTTATCATCAACCTGATATCCTTGAATTTGTTTTGAAGAGCCAGGAACCTTTGTTACTTCTCAACATTATAGAGAATCGCTATGTCTCAATTGGACGATTATGTATTGGGTCGAGGCCTGGTGGATTCGGTCCGGTGCGTGTCATACTTTTATTCCGCCCCTTCTCTCTCGATTATGAGTAAACATTAACCCTGGGCAGACTGGATGCTCAACATCTGCTATGGAAGCTGCATCAGGGCTTCGAACTACATCCGGGAATTCCAATCACAAACCATATGAAAATCGCCGAAATTGGAACCGGGACTGGGTAAGCGTTACTCTGGACCGTGTTCCACAATATCTAACGACCGTCAGCGTTTGGGTGTTTGATGTTGCCAAACATGTTCCATCCAGTGTGCGATTGGATGGATATGATATTTCCGATGATCAGTTCCCACCCAGAAACCTGTGGCCATCGAACGTATCCCTCGGGGTGATGGATTCCCTGGTAGATCCTCCGCCGTCTCTCAGGGGCCAATACGATGGCGTCCATCTTCGCATGTGGGCAAGTAACGTCCGAGAGAGTGACATCGGACCTGTGATACGTCACGCGAAATCCCTCCTAAGTAGGTTCGACCCACAGCCTTTGTCCGAACAATGGTAACGAGTCTTTGCATAGAGCCGGGTGGATATATCCAGTGGGAAGACGCCGACTTGGTCAATCCCATCGTGCAAGGGGAGATAGCAGAGAAATGCGACGCGTGTCTTCAAGGTTTATTTCACCAGGTAAACCTTGACTACAGGTAAGCCTGTGATATGCTGACAAGATCACGGATACAATGAGTTTAGAATAGCTGATTTCGATCAATAGTTGGGTATCTGATCTTCCACGTCGCCTGCGACAGGAAGGCTTGCAGGTTGTTGAATTTCATCATGGTAGATTCAACTCTGACGCCACTCAACTGTGTACGAGAACCTACTTGATGGCTCTTCAAGAAATTCTCAATGGGATCAAGAGGACGTCTTCGGAGGATATCAATCGTTCTGTGACAGAACAGGAAGCCGTCCTCCAGCAAATGCTTGGTCAGGCTAAGAGTGGAATGATCTATAACTGGACACCAGTTAGCGTGCTTGCACGTGTAAAGTGAAAAGACTCTTTGCATGTTGGCACTGCAAAGTCCCGGAAAACCTAGTGCCTCGAATAAAATGAGGCATGGTCATAGGTACAACCTAGAACCCTTGCAGTCATACGAGATTTCAGCACGAGCCTTCATCGAGGTCTATACTTTGTAGATATCATACCTATTCATAGGTAGTTCTCTTGCAGAAGTTGGAGCCATCCTAGATATCTTTATTTCTGTCCGAAATGGAAGTGGAAATCTCAGCATTGTACTCAAGGATCTCGTTAAGGAAGAGCCTTGGGACGGACGGAATTTTCAAGACTATATATGTATATTACAACTTCAAGCTGTCATTCTTCAAAATGTCACCATCGTCAAGCTACCCGGACAGGCGATAGAATACAAAACAGATTTCATACTCCGTAGATAATCGGCTCCCAGGGGTCCTCTCAATGTACTCTACAATCGTCGCTTTCGAGTAGAGCGGGAGAAGAAAAAGGAGACCCTCAAAGTAAAAGAGATTGAAGAATAGGGGTGAACAAGGAGACATAGTTCATCTTTATAGAATGTCCCTCATGCATAGGGGCAACAGATGCCACATTTCTCAGGTGTCGATGGGCATAAGCCACGTGTCAAGACGAGCCGACCGGGCGCCGAGAGCCGACACTTTGCTCCGTGGGCTTCGACATGGATGCCGTCTCGCAATCCGCCACGATGCCCGTAAGCCATCAGCATGGAGAGTCCTTCCGAGTCGTCGGCATCCAACGTCCGCCCTCCCGCTCGCCGGAAACGGGTGGTGACGGAAGCCCGGAGAGAGCAGAACCGCGTCGCCCAGCGGGCCTACCGTATGTGATCCACGGATGGACGACCTGGTATCACTCTGACTGACTGGACGACCTAGGTCGACGACAGAGAGAGGAGCGGCCGAAGAAGCCACGCCCGCAGACGTCCTACGTTACCCCGTCCTCCAACCCCTGTAAAAGCCACAGGACCCTCCTTCGCACGATCCCATTCCATCACCATCTTCGCGCGACCCTGCCTCCAGCTTTGCTTCCGAACAATCCAAACCTCCTCCACCTCGTCGACGATGCAGCACTGGAGGGATTAAGCCTGTCGAGCCTTGCCGACCTACACCTGCAGCCAAGTGGCGACCCGTTAAACATCGTGGGGATCGACGCTCTCTTTCCATTCGACTTTGACTCGGAGGGCGAGAATAGTGTCTCTGACTGGCAGCTCCAATCCTCTAGCCAACCACTACTGGCTGAGGGCATCGCGGAATCGGATGATGACATAAACCACGTCGCAGAGGATGACGGGCCGGCATTTGCAGATCCCTATCTGAATCGTCTTCAATTCTCCAAGATGGCTCTTCTGCAAGCGTGCTGTTTCAACGCACGTTGTCTGGGAATCGGTGCCGAGGAATTCTCTAGGTACTCCTTTTGGTCCTTCTGTTCGCCCTTACCATGAGCGAGGACCCGAAAGCCTTGCTGGAGGCCGTCTCGCAGCCTTCGATCCCACCTCATCTGCAGCCCACGTTGCCCCAGGTGCTGTTCCCCCTTCATCCGATTCTTGACCTACTGCCGTTGCCAGGGTTGCGAGCTCGCGCCATCATGTTGGCGGCCACGGCACCTTTTCTGCTGGATGTGCTTGACTTTAAGAGGGACGTCATTGAAGGGGGCTTGATCTGTTGGGCGGTCCGGTAAGGCGGAAGTAGTCAACCATGGGATCGGCGCAGCTGGGAGGCCGCGCCATGGTTTTTATAGAAATGGCGGCTGCTGGATGAAGGGCCCCAGAGCGACCTGTGGCAGCAGAGCGCCTGGTGGCAGGGCATGAGAGGTGAAGTGCCCGCCCGGTGAACGGACGGGGAAGGTTAATTGCGTTGACACTTTCCCTCAAATCGTACCATGTTACGGTGCTCGGCAAATCTTTGCCAGCTGCGCCGATGTGTAGGCCCTGCCACCGAAGGCCCATGGCCGATGCACATCGCCGGATAGGTAGCACGTGACAGGACCCAGTTCTCTGTTCTTCCTTTGGCCCTCGTTTGTTTCATTCCTGCCAGTGAGACCTCCCCCACGGAATTTAACGGTCGAGGATGGAAAGGACACGATCAGTGCTCCCACAAAAAGTGTCCATTCGCGTTAGCTCGGTCCAGAAGGCCCGACCCCACAGACGGCGAATGAGGAGAGAACTCTCTTTCTCCTCGAATGAATGCCTATGCCGTGATTCGGGTGCATGAAAGCGCGGGTCTCTGGACTACTAGTTTATAGTCTTTGTGTAAGCCTGATTCTCGCCATCTGACCCTTTGCAAGTCTGCATCCCTGGTGCTGGAACCGGAACATGCCCGGCCGATGACCTGATTCGTGGTTGGACATATACGCGTGGAGCCCAACCATTCCCGGTCATGCGTAGCTTTTGCATGCGCCGGGGGTACAGAAAATGCCTTTAAGTCTATATCCCCAATTCGGCATTACATACGGAGTGAGGCGCTGCTAGGGGTGGTTTAAATTCCGGATTAGAGCTCGACCCGAAATTTAGTCCCATAGTGATAGGTCAAGGAACGAAACAAAGGAGTAAACATCCCTTATGGTTCAAGGTTCCCCTGTGGTGGCTGTCAGGACTGAAATGATGTTTCAGAATAACCAGATATCAAGGTTTCCGGAAGCTCGGACTGTTTCGTCGGAAGAAAGGCCCTGTATAGTGCCTCAAAGAGTAGTTTTTGACGGTTCCCATTCATACCCAACAGATTGAATCCAGCTACACCCAAGCTATTGGAGATCGTTGAGGAAGAGGGGCAACTGCGTCTGGTATCCTACGACACGTTTCATAGAACCAGGGAAAGAGATAGCTTGCGCTCGGACCGATGTATATTCCCGAGCCAACCAAGAGGCTGTGTACCTTCACGGACTTCAAAAGGACCGGTACTAAGGAGCCACGGGGCCGCGACACCCTTCTTCGTAGGACGAATCCATGTCCTTGTGGGATACGCATCTCGATATAACCCCTGTCCCAAACAGGTCGGAAGGATTGGCCTGTTGAATAAAGACTACAAGAAAGGGATAGGATAGATGTCAGTTCAGACTTATTCAGGGGTTTACCATGTTCGGAAGCCCACAGGTCGTACCTACCTTTGGTCATGCGTGGGATTTTTATGTGTTGAATGGAAATTTGATTTACTGCAATTCTATTGTCTGAGACGTGTGTGTCAAACATCGATGGCTGCTCGAGTCTCGCGGGTCTTTCAAGAGGTGGAAATTCTACGCGGCGTAAGGTAGTCATCCCCATCCAGCTTTATTCTTTCTAGTTCGGCCGCAACGAGCGACTTCGCGGTTGTACAGAGCAGTGACTGTTCGTAAAGCGGTTTTCTGGCAGAACTTACACTCCTTCCCCGACTCAACCATGCCTTTAACTGACACTAGGACGCCTTCGTGCTGGTTGGCATGGGGCCTATGGTAGAGGACCTGGAACATCCCACCCTGCATGTTATCCAAGGCTAGAGTATATTTCTCGAGAGAACTGCTGTATGTGGCGTAGCAGTCAATCCAGACCCAGGCCTCGAGTCTTCGCCATACAGCATTCCGATTCATCGTGGCTTGTGTCTGGGCGCGGGGTTGCGAGAGTCGGCCACCAAACAAAGACGAGTAAATGAACTGCATTTAGTAGCATTTCGTCACGGATGTATGGCTAGCCATTTCTCACTAGCCTCAGAAAGAATGCTTTATATAGCAAACACGAAAACTTTTGGGAATGGCACAGGGCCAATGGCTGATGAAAATCGACTGTGATGTGTTGTGTTAGTGGAAAACTCCGATCTTCTGGAGAAAAACTCGCGAACCTTCCGGTAAAGCACAGCGTCTTCGGTGTAAAATGAACATTCCAGACCCGGAGTCCGACCTGAGCTGAAAGCATTGCAATGGAGCGCATGCCCTCCTGTGAGTGGAATGCTTATGGTGAAACGAAGCTGCTTGTGAATCGCTTCAAAAAGAAGCGAGAAAAGGACCATCCCGGTAAGTAATCGAGTAACGTAAACCCTAATGAACTCAAACATGCCGACAATATCCATGGTTGGCTAAGACTCATGGCTCCTATTTGCGTCGCAATGCTTCGGTCTATGAATGGAGTCAAGACTCAGACTGCCAGGGATTGTTGGAGCTGCCCGAGATCCCACTACGAAGTTGCTGGCCGGGCATCGAGCCCGTGCGACTAATAGAATGCCATCTGGGCTCCGAGGAAGGCTCGAAACCTCGTAATGATAATGACTCAATCCCGGCTGGTTCCGGCCGAGACACGGTATCTAATCCATAGGCTCAGCTAGTCCGTGGAAAGTAAACATCCAGGAGGCAAGCTGAAACATCAAAACGTCAGCGAAAAAAGGAATATAACATCCATCTTCTCCTTCCAAAATTGAGTGTCGGCTAAGCGCATTGACGAGCCGAACTGTCGTAGAGCCTGAATGCAGTGCTGCAATAACTAGCCCAGCTGGATGAATGGGATACACGGGACACCAGACTCGCAGAAAAAAAGCAAGGTAACAGCATCGCTTCTCCCGAACCCAGATCCCACTGAACTCTCGCTGGCGTTCAAATTTCCAAAAAGGCTAGTCAGGATGGTCTCACAGCAACACGGGGTTGTGTGACCATCCCCTCGCTAGAATCATTCCGTGAGTAGCCTTGGAGCTATGACGAGTCAGAGGGTGGGTGGGTTGCACAGCGAGACATGGCTATCACTCCGAACGGCAGTGAGGGACAACTCACCGGGCACACTAAGCGTAATGCGAGATTCGTTTGCGAGGATATAAGTAGAGGTGTGCCTGCTCTTTCGCAGGCCAGTCATTAGTTGTCACATCAGCAGAACTTTGCCAGCCGAGTGATAGTGTTTCTTTCCTCGCACTTCAAGAGAATGGAATCAATCATCCAACAAGTAAAAGCTTTATATGCTCAGTCAGATGCTAAGGGTCGCGCGGCAATACATCGTGACATAGATCGGCTGCAAGGGTCGTTATTCTCACAAATGGAATTTGCGATCCACCTAGCAGCCAATGGAGTGAGTGACATCGCCTGAGGTTTGGAAAGGTCCTATCCAGCTGATGAAAGGGCAGCCAGTCAAGTACGCGATTGCCAAAATCGGCGTCGATCTCCATATATTCGAGCTTCTGACGGAGAGTGACGGTCCTCTCACGGCTTCGCAGATAGCAGATCGAGTGGCCGGGGCCCCCAAACTTCTGAGTGAGGCATAGAATAAAGATCCTGGTGGGAAGCGATAGGTAACCGATCGGCGCTAATAAGAAGCAGAGAGAATTCTCCGAACTCAGGCAGCGTTGCACCTGATTGACCAATCTGGTGCCGATACATTTCAATCGAATCGAGTGACTGAGCTTCTCTCCAACCCGGACATCAACTCTCTGCTGCTGTTTCAGTAAGTCAGGCGAATTTTCGCCCCAAAGTCAATCTATAGCACCGGCTCACGCTATTTCAGACAGCCAATATTTGGTCCTGCTTACCAAGCGCTGCCAGAATTCTTACGAGCTCGGAAGTATCAGAATGCCGTGGCCGACGACGTCACGGCCTTTCAGGTCGCTTTTAACACGGAGTTGACGTTCCCGGAGTTTGTGAAACGGCATCCTGAGCACCTTGGGAACCTACACAAGTCTATGCAGCAGACCTATGGCAGTCAATGGACTGATGAATTCCCAGTTGAAAAGAAGCTTGGTCAGTGGGACGAGGATGGAAACGAGAGGCCGTTGCTTGTGGACATTGGCGGCGGACGAGGACAGCAGGCCAGTGCATTCAAGAAAAAATTCCCCCATCTTCCAGGTCGAGTTATTGTACAAGATCGGGCGGAGGTGATTGACCGTGCTGTTGGGATCGATGGAGTTGAGTTTATGGTCCACGACTTCTTTAAGGCTCAGCCGGTCCTAGGGGCCAAGTTCTACTATCTCCGGTTCGTACTTCACGACTGGCCGGACGATCTCTGCGTCAAGATCCTGACGAGCATTGTTCCTGCCATGGGCCCTCACTCGTGCATCATTCTGGACGAAATGATTCTTCCCGATATTGGGATGTCTTTCTGGGCTGCCTTCATGGACACGGCCATGCTGGCTGCCAGTGGCGGGTCAGAGCGCAGCGCAGAGGACTGGGTCACGCTGCTTGACCGTGCAGGACTACGGATGCTAGAGCTACTGGAATACGATCCGCAGAATCTGTCTGTAATCGTGGCAGTGCCCAAGCAAACAGAGGATGAATGATAGTTACAACTACCGGACCCGCTGTTTTAACAGAGGACCGACTATGGTGGTAGGCAGTTTATGCGGGGCACTGATCCAACAAAAGGTATCTGGGCATATCCAAAATTCATTTTGTAAATTTGTAAATTTATGAACAAATATATAAATTGTCCGTTGCAAACTCTAAGAGAATGCAGGTTTAATGCGCTTAACATACAGCTAGTGACCTATAAGTAATTTCAGCAATAAGAAGTAGCTTTGACGTTGTTTCGTTGGCTTCGAGACTCTGCCACTCCCAATGGATACCTACTCGATAGCAGTTTGCCAGATATAATAGAGCATTGAAATTACACACACTTGGCGGGGTTAGATTCAAAGCGAACTTTGCTTTGCCTTCTTGCCACGTCCTTCAAAGCTCCAGTCAATCTGAGTTGCCATCCGGACTTTGGCACCCAATTCATTGGCAAATGCGCGAACCAGGCCCGGGTTCTGCTGGAACCAACGTCCCGCCTGGACGGCATCAATGCCGGACTGCAGCACCTCCTCAGCCAAGGAACCTGTCTTGATGCCACCTACGGCTGAGACTAGGAGTCTATCACCCACTGCCCTCTTGATCTCTCGAGCAAAATGCGCCTGGTAGGCGGGCCCGGACCGAATGGCGATGGCAGATTTGGCATGAATACCCCCAGAGCTGACATCCACCAGGTCGATGCCGTGGTCCGCAAGAAGAGGTGCCAGCCGTACAGACTGAGCAAGTGTCCAGGTCTCAGGGAACTCCTGTCTCAAGTTTTCCTCGAATTCAAACCAATCGGTAGCACTGATGCGCACGAAAACAGGCGTCGATGTCGGCACCGTAGCCCGAACGACATCGCAAACCTCCAACAGTAGCCTAATCCTGTTCTCAAAGCTGCCCCCATACCGATCCGTTCTCCGATTGCTCACCGGACTCAGGAACTGATGCAGGAGGTACCCGTGGGCGGCGTGAATCTCGATCGCGTCAAAATTTGCCCGGAGAGCCCTTTGAGTAGCCGCCGCGTAGTCATTCTTCAATGCCTCGATCCCCTCCAAGGACAGCGCCGCAGGCACAGTGTTGACGCCCTCCTCCTGGGGGATAGCTGATGGAGCGACGAGCTCGTCTGGCCATCCCCCGACTTCTGTGACCGCCATGGCGTTGCCGCTCAACCAAGGGGCCACTGCGCTACCTTTCCGACCCGCGTGAGCCAATTGGATGGCGATTTTCTGATTCTGGCCGTGAGCAAACTCTGTGATGCGCTTCAGTGGCTCAATATGAGCGTCTTCATATAGCCCGAGATCCTGTGGTGTGATGCGGCCGACTCTCTGCACTGCGGTCGCTTCCATGATTGCTAGGCCCGGTCCGCGCTGGATGATTCCGCCGAGATGCGTCAGATGCCAGTCGTTGGCATAACCGTCCTTTGACGAATATTGACAAAGAGGAGCCAGGAACAGGCGATTCGGGAGCGTCACACCGCGGATAGAAATAGGGCTAAATAACTTGGTTGACCCCTCGAGTTGCGTGCCAGCCGGGGGCTCTTGGGCAGGAGTATAGTAGGAAACGCCCTCAGCGGCAACATTGTCAATTATAGGCCGCACCATAATTTTGATTGAAAGACAACTCGGTTTTGGCTGGATGGGAATGAGTCGAGATGCGACTAACTTTTGTACAGTTTATATGTCGCCTGAGGACATTATTAATACGGGCTGGGATTAATAATAGCAGAAGGGCTAACAGTACAGCTCGTCATCGCGTGCTGCCATGATTGGTTCACGATGCTGACTCTAATCAGGTCTAACTGATGCCAGAGTGGGCCCATATTTTTATGTGGCATTAGGTAGGTATCCGTGGCCTCGCCAAAGGCGGTGGGTGGTCCGAAGGCTCCCGGAGGTCACGGATACCACTCTTCTATGTTCTTGCTGCCAGGGAGAGCGTCTATGTGCCATGGACGTGGTAAGAAATGGCCCGAAGGAGAGGAGCTGTACAACAAGACCCCCAATGAGTACCTTTTCGCCCGTTTCTCTGGTTGAAGTTGAGGACATCATTCCTCCGCCCCCAAGTTGGGTCATGAAAGCCAGCGCGTCGGCTATGACAAAAATCTTTGTCACCCTTTGTGGTGCGATGAATGATATTTCCGGCTTGCCGACGAGAAGAACGATCCGTCCGTACATCATATAGATCGCGGCGGCGTAGAGAGATGGGGCTAGAAGGATACAAATATACTGAACAACGTACGGACCCAGCTCCCAAGGATCCCCGGCCGAGATACATCGTGCAATATATCCAATAGCCATCACTAGAATGGTGCATCTTGTTATTATCAACACAATGTATCGGTTTCAATTTCGGAATGGCCATGCACTTACTGGTTGAACCAGTTATGAAAACGACGAAGAAGAGCAGCCGGGACTGCCATGTCTGATAACAGTGAAGAATAGTACTGCCACCAAACAGAATTGCAGCGACTGCGCTCACACCTTGTTCGGATCAAACCCGTATATATTCTTGTCGTCTGTCATTTTGCAGTTGCCTGTACTTGAATGACGAACAATCCGAGGAAGATTGTAATCATGCAATACCAGGACAACTCCTCGCTACTTATACTTTTTTTCAAAGTACCTGACGAGAGTTCATTTGGAGTTAATACTACGGTGCTGCCTACTCAGAGAGTTGCGCACGCGAAAACGAAAACGATAATGCGGCTGAATTGCGAACCAAATATAGACTATTTACCATAGACCTGCACAATCAACTTTGTAGTAAATGAACCTGACCCGATTGAATTCAAACACAGTTGCCTAAGAAGCATTATTATAGTATCAACCAGTGCCGCGATCCTCGCCTGCCAAGTTGTACTAAGTTTCCATCGCCGACCTAGACCCTGATCGCGCGGCTAATGGTGATGAAAAGTAATGATAAGACTATCTAACGGATGATAAGCTGATTTTAAATTTTCAAAATGGCACTATTGGATAATTTGGTTCTATATCTGGTATAGGATTGCTGGGTGGGCGCTGTTATTGTGCTGTACTATGATAGTGGGTTTTAACCTGACATATATGTACTACGCCTGTTTATCACACGGCTCCAACACACTACTCGTTAAGGGGCCTTTTGAAATTGAGATATCTCGCAGTAGCTTCAAACACTTCAAGAATGTACGAAAGAGCGATCCCTCTACCCCATACCTGTATTATTCCATAATTCCTGATTAAATTCATATTCTAGGCCTAGACCCTCGCTTAACTCAACAATAGATCGAGAGGATGCATGGTGACCAAGAAAAATATTCAAGAGCACAACCAATGTTGACAATAACTAGCAGAATACAGGATGACGAGAGGTAGCCCGTTAATCTTGCCCTAATATATGGGATAGCTTTGTGAAAAAGAAAATCAGGTACTGAAAAAGACCAGTATGGTTAATGTTGGAACGATATTGTCAACCAGACTAGGGAGGTAGAGGATCCTGGCCTAACCTACATACCATACAGCACCTTGCATGGCCTAGGCTTGGCCTATCATTCCAAATGGCATACCAAGGGATCAGGAATGCATAGGTGTAAACAAAGGGAACTATAAATAGCTAGGCAGATTGTAGTTTAGAATGACACTTTTACCTTTACCCACCGAGCATATACCTATATTCAGTTGAATCGATAGGATATCTGCTTAGGGCAATGACCAAGTCAACCGACAGTTAACTGCAGCCAGTTTTCAGAGAACAAGGAGTATAGCCTCGACTGAGCCACCCCTTGCTCCTTCAACAACTTCAGCACTTCCCGCACGGCAACTTGGCCTTGTTTGATAGCTCCATCGACAAACCCCCTCCACCCATCCGCCCAATCCGCACTTGCAAACACAATCCGTCCATGACGGCGCTGTGATTTTTCCAGAAACTTGGATGCGCTGTTTGGCCCCCAGCACGCCCAGGCACCCTTGGCGTAAGGATCATTCATCCAGTCATGGGTCGCATAAGCCTCAATCGTCACGTTGGAATAGAGGCTTTCCTTGAACTGCCATATAATATGCTGCGAGTCCGTTTTATCGGCGAGCTTGCCATTATATCCAAACCCTATACACCATGTTCCCGACGGACCGGAGGGATGAGTCCGACTGTGATCGGAGAAGGCGAAAAAGCACTCCGAGGTCCGGTATCCTGAGCTTGTCCAGGTCCAGCCGGGGAGTTTTTCTCGCAGCTTGAGATGGATCTTTGCGCCCTTGTTGATGTGTCCTTGGACAACTGCTGTTTGCCGGATGGGAGACAGTGGTGGGTTGAATGTGATATCACTAAGACAGTTCCTACCTACGATTAATCAATGGCAAATAAGAGTTTACAGAGTTTTGGGGGTCTGACAGCGGGATTGTCGATATCACCGTTTTCGCCTTGAATAAGCTACCAAGCGCAGTCACAACCTCCACCCCGTTCGGAGCGCGCCGTATCTCGGAGACCGTGGTGTCGAACAATCTTTTCCTGGTATGTTCTTTCAATATGGCCTGAGCGAACGAAGTCATACCTCCATTCTCCAACTTGTACATTCTTGCCCTCTCAATCGTGCCAGCCATTTCATGCCGGTGCAACTCAGTGTATACATGTGGCTGACTCCAATGAACCCATGTGCCTCCCATCTCGATTTCCTCACCCAGAGTTTTAGCAGTCCATGTCCGACCACCGATACGGTCCTCTTGCTTCCAAAAAGAGAACATCCAAACCGTGCGTTCGGCATAGGTCGCGTGCGTCAATAAGACCTGCGAACCCAGCGCCGACCACAATCACGTCGTAGTGGTCTTTTGTGCTGCGTGAGCTTCGTTGTACGGAGGTTGATAGGCCTTCGGTTGTGCTGTTTGATGTCCAGAGGGAGCCTTCTTTTGGGCGGAACATCTTTTTACACAGAATTGTAACCAGAAAATGAATGGTGAGGAGGGGTGCGATCTTGCTATTGTGCGGGGTGATGTTAGATTTTCAACGAGGGTGAATGAGCAAGCTTTACTGCGCAGCTCATCAGGGATAAATACCTTTCAGACTTTGCAGTACATATTGAAAAGCTAGGTTGGGACGTGGGTATGGACTTCGGAACGACATGCGCATTCCGAGACTCCATGTCAATGTCATATCCATCGATGGTAGGTACCAATGCAATTATGTAGATCTTCTATGCGATTGGCTGAGGCAGCACTCCGGGCCCGCCTATCGCTCTTCTTCTCCCAATTTGGGCTAGTTCTATTTCGGTGGAGCTCTAGAGAGAATATCGATGGTATTCGTTGCGAAATCATATTCGAATGCAAACTAACTGATGTATCTTGCGTTATCGCGCTTATACTACAACCAGGGCTGTTCACGGTTTGCCGGTTTGCCGATTTTGACGATACTATATAGTCTATAATTAAGGTTGACGATACTATATCGGCAAACATTGACGATATCGTCAAACCGTCAAAGTTACGTAATAAGTACTAGCTACGATCATTTGATTCAGCTTGCCATAATGTATATTCCTGATTCTTAGCAACTAATATTTAAGCAAAGTAAGCATCATCCATCAAGATTAACGTTCTCATCGTCTCTGCCTTTATGGAGTGCCGCCGAATCCCTAGCAAGTCTCTTCCCTTATTAAATAGCCTCTCAACTGTAACTTTTGAGGCTGGGATTGCAAGGAAGTCCCTTGCAGCTGCAGCCATTTGAGGTAGTTCATCTTTATGTACACGCCACCAATTGCGAGGCCAATTTGAATCAGTTGTATCGACTATAGTGACACGAGGATTATCGAAATACTGATCAATATCAGAGCGATATGGTTTAGCTTTTGGTTGTAGGCGCTGAAGCATCCGAGACTCCACATTACTACACTGGGTAGTTGGAGTCAGCTGTTGAGATGGACTAAATCCTTGCAATTGCCTCTCAGGAAGACGATATCTCTGGTATAAATTATCACGGATAGCCTTTAGAATAAGAATGCCTGCTTTGTTTTTAATCTCATTCAGAGTTAGGTCTCCCTTAACACGAGGATCCAGGATCATTGCTGTATAGTATATATCACATTCATCCACAAATGTGTAATTCTTCTTATACTTTAATAGACCTTCCTTAATTGTAGAGGCAATGTCATGGTCTAGTCCTGCAAAAGCTCCAAGAGACTCAGATCCTTCATGTAGTAAATCATGAAGCTCATAGTAAAGTGGTACAGCAAGGCTGATCTGTGGTCTCTTCTCAGATAAGAATAGTGTAAGCTCATTGAACTTAGCGAGAACTTGATGTATTTAAGTAAGCCGGAGCCATTCACTATCAGTAAATGAAGAGATCTCAGTCTGCAGAGCTAGAAAATGATCATTTTGGGCTTTTGCTTTTAACCCGTCATCAAGCATTCGATATGTGGAATTCCATCGAGTCTCAACATCATATTCGATATGTTTGTCAGGGAGACTCATAAATCGGCAAATATCCTTCCATTTTTGCCTTCGCTGAGGGGTAGTTAGATTATAGGGTATCACGAAGGAAGGTCTTCGGAGGCTGGTCACAGTCCGTGACATGCAGGAAATATTTTCATTATAAGACATTAGGCAAAGATCAGCATGAGGAGGTGAGATCATGTGATATTTAACGATAATAGTATCGGCACCTGAGGACTTTGACGATAATATTTGACGATCAAGATAGTCAAGCTTTGAATTTGACGATACTATTGGCGATATTCGAAAATCATGACTATATAGTATCGTGAACAGCCCTAACTACAACAGTGTCTATGATGAATGTTAATATCACTTTTCTCAGGCAATCTTCATTCTCCTAATTACGGCCAAAGTAGAGTATGTACCTCAAAGCTTCGCCCGAGGCTGCCCTCTAACTTTCACCGCCAGCCCATAACTCCTCGATGAGAATGTAATCGTACTTCCTCTCGAGAAAAAGAAAGTACCTCTGCTGAATTTCCGGTCTCGTCAAAGAACGTGAACTCGCCAACAGCAGGGCAATGGAGAGTAAGCTGATGATAACCCCTTTAATACCAGGCAAGAGTCCTCCATACCTTCGATGACGACGCCAAACTCATCACACTCGTAAGGCGGAGGCGTCGATTCAGGGTCTTTCTCCATACGAAACCAGGCGCCAATCATGGGGTTACCGATGTTGGCTTCCTAGCATGTCGGCTGGGGTGGATGAGAACTGGCATAGGAAACTGGGCACTCCATAGATAGCTTACCGAAGAAGACATTCGGAGTACCTGGCAACACAGGCCAGTCGAGGCGGCCAGTCTTATATTTGATCTGGAATGGCATTTTGAAGAGAATGAAACAACAATTGGCCACTTTCTGGGCATATTGGCTTCCAAGGTGTTTTGTTCAAATATTTAAATACTCGCCTGGAAATTATACGGCTGACCAATCGCATGTTCTGTTTCACCGCACATGTTTGATCCCTGCCTCGAGAGCGGAGTGATAATTTGCAGGGAGCCGTACTCGGCATGAGAATCACTTCTCCGTGTAATTTGGGTTGCTGTTTCACTTAGAGAAAGAATGGCATGACTCGCGAGCTCATATTTGGAAGACCATTTCAACGGGCGCCTATATCCAGGACAAGCAAATGACCTTCTAGTGCACTGGTTGCAACCTGGGTGTGTCTCATCGCATTTGATTCTCTATAGATTTAGTCAGTACGCAATGAATAGTTAATATGGAGACAGGAAGGACCGAGCCAGTGTATGGACCTACCCTTTCCTTACAGCGTGAACAACCAGCTACAGGGGTCAGTGTGCGGAAGGGAAGTAGACATGGGCGGACTCACTTCGAGTCTTCACTCGACTCCGGGTCCGTTGATCTGGCATATCTCAGTGTAAACGGTGTGATGATGTTGAGGTTTCAAAATGTGATCTGCGACCCTCTCGCGGTCCCGGCGGTTCGGCGTCCGCTTACGTGAACATGATCCACCAGCGGGCGATCCCATCAACACTGTCAAATCAAGCATTTCATTCATCAACATATCCACAAATTCTGCGGGTTCCGTAGTTCAACGCGAGAGGAAAATAATACCTGCTACAGAAGCTATTCAGAAACGTCGGATTAAGTCAAAACAAGCCGCTACAAAGGCCTGTAATGTGCCTCGTCAGACTCTTTCCTCCCGTACCTGCACCACCATCGCACAAACCCCCATACCGCAACTGGAAAGGGAAGTTAAGTCCCTGACTACGTCGAGCCCCTCGTCGCCAGAGAGCTGTCCCCGTTACTTCTACTTTGGCTCGGCCAACTTATAACCGAGGTTAGGGTGGGTACCGTTCATCGAGCGAATCAGCACTACCAAAGAAGTGCTTCGGCTTTGGCTCCTTCTTCTCCGGCGCCACCTCTGGACCCAGGGACGAAGATGTCAGAGACGCTGACACCGAGATAAGCCTGCTCAACGAGACCTTCCAGCTCGAAACAAGAGGCGTTTGCATTGTGTGCTGGAAGAATCTTGGCACCGACGGGAGACAACCTGCGATGATGCCGCCTGAGATCTCGGGGATTGTGCACAGGCCCAGGAGGTAGAGCTGGTAGGAGGTGTTGTTGGTTGTGTTGTACAGCTGGAGGCCGTAGTGGATTTTGAGGGCTGCCCCGGTGCAGGCTCTGTACAAGCATCAAGACAAACGATTAGTCTCTATAAGAAGGTACAACGGCTGAGAGGGAGGTGGGGACATACATAATCCCAAACAAAAACACTACGGAAACAGCCCTCTTCCTTCGTGGAGACATTTGGAGTTTCCAGATTTTCAAATGAGGAAGGACAAGGATGATCAGGTCAGACAAGGTATTGATAATTCCAGCGATGACAATCTGTACTTCCGTATTAAGGCATGTGCCGTTTGTTATCAGGACATCCCAGGCCTTTGAGATCGGGCGACAGGAGAATATCACGGTGAAGGTAAGGATGGTATAGTAGATGAGATTCAACCAAACTAAGCAGTGACAGGTCCAGAAGAAGTAGTCTTGCGTTAGGCTGAAGACCTCCAGGAATTGCCGCAGAATGGAGAGTTTGATGAAGAAGATGCAGATGGAATAGAGGATGAGGCCAATGTGGAACCACTATGGTTGCGGGGATTAGTATTGAGGTACGGCTAAGACTAGCATGGGTTTTCATTCTTACGTATAATAAGGAGATAAAACCCTTCAGTTGTAGGTTCCACTGGTCTATACCTGGGGCAATGTCTCCAATTATCCAGGCTACAGGAAAGTAGGCGATGGATAATGCCTATACCTGTAGTGTCAGCTCAGGAATAGTGTTGAATAGAGGAACTAAAAACATATACCCAAGCCAGAATCATCGCGTCTGGTACAATATGTTAATAGCTTCGTTGATATATGCATCAAAGTGATGACTTACAGTCAGATATATTGAAGTGCCGAATAATGAAAGCCCTGGTGTAGGTGCGAATAGCAAAACAGATAAACGCCAGACTCCAGCCGATCAAGATAATACCCCGCCCGACGGCCTGCAGATTGGGAGGATTAACAAAGTTAGGGTACACTTCCGGAGGAGGAGGACCTGCTGGCCCTTCAAGAAGGCCTTCGCGCTGTTTAAATGAAAGTGATGCCATTTTGGTATTGGCAAGAGGAAGAGGGCAGGTTGTGTCCGTGGCGAGAGTCCAAGAAACCGTGAAGGCGATATGTTGCAAGACAGGTGTTGGCCTGTTTTCATATTCCAAATTGGTAGCATGCTCCATGCGGTCATCTGATGCCTAGTCTCATAATCAACGCTGAGACCGAAGGAAGGAGCAAGGCTTGCTCAGGGCTAAAGATCGAAAGCAGACAACGCTGTGGCCCAGCCACGTCGCTTTCGGAATCCTAGATTGAATGAAGTACAGCCGAGTGATAGGAGCATCCAGCGAGGTATATAGTGGGACGGGAGGATCCGCTTCGACGATCCGCTGTTAGCGAAGCTGTCATAGACGGTACTAGATATCCCAGATTTATAGAGCTTCCATTCTAGTATCGACCGTGCTCAGCCGCCAAGTGATCAGTCACATGCTACACCGTATACTCTGTGTAACCTGCAGCAGCCAATGGTGATCCCCTGTGATGCTTACTGGGTTGGGAAGACCCGATCCCAGTATGTATAACCCGCCGAGCTAAATATAGTACAGTCGTGGATGTGAAACAAACTTGGTAATCACTCCAATCTCTCTATCCCTCGTGGTCAATGTGATTGGACTTGCCAAGCTCTATCGAACGCATTCAGCAGCTGAACTAAACCCGTTCTAGATCTCTTTGTCCTGCTCCGCGGCGTGCAAGGTACTTTAACCCACCACCCCCGACACCTGTAGCGTTTTCACCTTACCACCCGGGAAATCTCGCCAGTAACGCAGTTCGGCTCAGCGGAGCTATCACACCCATGACAGAAACATCTTCATTCGCACTTATAACCGGCTGTAGCAGCGGAATTGGGAAGGAGCTTGCCATCGCCTTCGCAGCCAGTGGCGTCACTGTCCTCGCGACGGCTCGACGCGTCGAGTTGCTCAACGACTTGACAAGCAAATACAGCAACATTGAAGCATTGGCATTCGAGCTTGGCAATCCCAGCGGTGATACCGAGAGCATCGGCAAGCTGAAGGATGCCGTATCCAAGCGCACGGGTGGCAGGCTTGATTTTCTCGTCAACAACGCGGGCACCCATTATGCTTCGACTACGCTGGATCTTGAGATCAAAGAGGTTGAAACACTCTTCCAGGTTAACGTCTTCGCAGTTATGCAACTCTGTCAGACCTTCATGCCGCACCTCCGCCAGTCGCCGCGCGGGCGCATCGTCCAGATCGGGAGCGTGACAAGGGACGTGCCTATGGTTTGGCAAGGGGCTTATAATGCCTCCAAGGCTGCCCTTAGTCAATACTCTAAGACCCTTCGGTTGGTACGTCTACTCCTTCCTTCTTTGACCTTTGATCTTTCGATTTTTATTTCGTGCTTCAAAGTCCTTCTGATCGGTCTAAATCTTATTTACAGGAAGTGAAACCCTTCAGCATCGAGGTAATCGAGATCGTGACTGGGTTCGTGCAGAGTAATCTTCTTCACCATGGATTCCATACGCCAACGACATCTCTCTATCTTCCCCTCAAAAAGACCATCGAGGACATCAAGCACCGGGGCAACGACAATGGCATGCCGCCAGACGCGTACGCTAGGGCTGTGGTCGCGAAGGTAACAAAATCGCGGGTTAGTTCTGAGATCTGGGAAGGTAGGCTGGCTCGCCCGATTCGCTTCCTTGTGAAATTTCTGCCACTGACGATACTGGTAAGTTGCTAAATTGTCGTTTCCAACTATGAGCTCTGGCAATGATATGGTCCATCGTAGCTGACTCTGATTGTTGTGCAGAATTTTATCTATTACCGGAGGTTCAAACTTAATCTTCTGGAGGCTCGTGGGAATGGTAAACACTAGAAAGGTTTCAGCGATAGGGAAGGACATAGGCTTGATCCCGGTCTCGTTCTTCATCGGAATGGTAGTCTCTGCATTGCTTTGTGCCTATGGGTCTAGAGAGGTATATTTCTGAATGCAGTTATAGAATCAATCAATCATTCAATCAAAATTCTATTAACCTGGGGGAGCCCATCTATTGAAACGACAGGCTATGCAGGCGCTTCGCCGAATGAAGCAGAATCTCGAGCCCGTACGCCATATAAACCCAATGCAGTAGACAAAAGAGATCAAAAAGTAACACAATTGAACCGGCTGCCACACGCCTGCCGCGTGCCTACTGCGCCCCTAGACGCCGTTCTCTCCTTCCACTCCGTTCAATCTGTGGTATTCAAGTGGGATCCACTGTGCCTGTGTGCGTCACGTAGCCAGTTGAAACTTCCTGGCTGTTAGTGTTCTATATAACGATCGTCTTCCTCGTTTAGATCGAGTCCCTCTAGGAGAGTGCTGGGTTCTGGGGGCCCCTCGTCTTTATCGTCGTTGAAAGTAGCGAATTGAAACTGCTGGAGGAGGTCTGTTCGTTGCATGAATTCGGCGACGTAGCGTATCGCCTGCGGGTGATTCATGACTGCGTCGTAGTCTTGCATACGCCCACGCAGCCCCTCGATAGAGTCGAGGCGTTCCGTCATTATTCTCCGACCAGCGAGGTGTAGCGAGCACTCCATAAGGACGTGTTTCGGCGTCTGAGAGCCTAATTCACACCCGCAGCGGTCGGAGTCGACCTGTTTTATCTTGTAGAGGAAATGCCTTAATCCGATCCTCATAGTGCGCATCTGGATAACTATAGAGGTCTGGGACTTACTTAAGCCCTCTGCAGTTATAGAATTCATATTACACCTGCGCCATAGTTGAACAACTGTGCCTTCCAGTAAACGGTTGGGCAGTATCGTCCTGAGACGAGTCCGTAGTATGTGGTGCTGGAGGTAACTGTGACGATCTATAAAGGAGCGGAATAAGACAAGTTTGTTACTGACTCGTAGTCAAGGAATTTTCCCATGGGGAAGAAAGGAACTATCTGGGAGGCAGATCTAGGGGCTAAACGGGCCCTGCCTAGGCATCTACATACAGGAATCCTCCACCAAAGTAATCGGAAATATCCTCCCCGCAACCGGGAGGTTCCTTGAGCTGGATTAGGTAGGTAGTATGGCTCGCTAGAATTTAGGGGGTAACGATTGTGTATATAATATGAACTGGCAACAAACAAACCAGAACCTCCCGAATTACTTCAGCGCTGCCACTCGTCGCCCTGATTGCTCCCTCACCTCCCACTTTCCTCGGTTTCGTCACCTACTAGCCTCTCTACCTCATGATGGAAAATTACCGATCTGGTCGCGGACCTTCACACCAACTGCTCTTTGATATCGAAGGTTAAAAGGGAGGCTGTCTTGCCCTAGTTTAGGGCTTGCTCCACATTATGCAGCAAGCAGGTAGTAAGATCAACAGCAGAGCGGAGGGATAGGGCCCCAAACTCTTAGCTAGCCAGAACTTTGTAGGAAATAGCAATCCATGCTATATTCCGTGCTATCAGGCGTTCAAGGCCTTTGCCTAGGACTGAGAGAAGGGCAATTGGTCTGTATGACCTGGGGTTGGCCCAGTCTGTCTTATTTGGCTTTCGGATGATAGCCAGAGCAGCGTAGCGGAAGCAGTGAAGGTAGTAGCCAATTGATAAGTATCTTTAATAGAGAGCTAACACCCTATCTTTGATCAAGGGCCATGCTGTCTTTAGTATACTGGTAAGCAGTTTATCACTTCCTACGTTTGTATTGCCTGAGTGCAGCACTGCTTTCTCTACCTGCGCCCTTGATATGTCCGGGAATGGCAGGGATCTAGATGGGATCGTAGGTGTGTCTGGCGGTATGTCTCCTACTTTAGCAGAATTCTGGAGGAGGTTTCGGGCTAGGATATCACGTTTTTCTTGTGTACTAACTGCTGGGAGGCAGTCAGGTTGCAGGGTGTCCTTTATTGGTGGGCTCCGGTAGGATCCTATTGCCCTGTGTCACTTGGACATCTCAAATACCTCTTTACTTGTAGTAGTTGCATTGATTTTATTCTTTCAGTATTTTCGTTGGGCGTGTCGAACTACCCGTCGGAAGTCCTTTTGTGTATATAATCTAACGCGATATTTCTGGAGTAATTCTTTGCACTCGAGGTTCTACCAAGCTTGGCCTCCCCCTTGAGGTCAGGATCTAAGTGATAAAGCTTCGTATGCACTATAGACAGCTAAGCTAATCTTACTCGTAAGGCAGTCTAGTTCTTCTTCTGTCCTCGCAGTAATTAGAAGGTTGCTTGTGTTCAGGGCCAGGAGGCTGCAGAAACGGAAAAAATCTAAGATACTGAACTTTAGTCTTTTTTAGGCCTTAGGGTGTCGCTGACCCCAAGAGAGAGTAGTGAGAAAAGGGCGGTAGTCTGATATGGCATCTAAGTAACCTGTAACCCTAGTACTTGCTCCAGCAAGAGCAAGAGTACTAGATGCAAAGGTTAGATCGAGAGTATTGTCTCTGTCATGTATAAGAGTATTGTTGGAACCATTATTCAGCTGACATGCCTAAGTCATATGACTCCTTGGCATGGGCAGCTATTATATATTCGATGAAGCTAGTAGTTTAGAATAGCACTTCACTTTTACCCACCGAGCATATACCTCCATTCCGTTGGATCGATAGGACATCTGCTTAGGGCAATGACCAAGTCAACCGACAGGTATTTATCTCAGAGATAAACACAAGTCCAAATCTGTCAAGTCATTCAGATACTGGCTCGGCTGAGGTAGAGGAATCTCGCTGGAGCGAGGGCTGCCATCTATTTTTGTAGTAAGTTAAAGTCACCTGCTAGTAAGGTTAATTGGGTAAAATAAGATTCAAGAAATTTAATAAGTTCCTGTACGGCTCTGTCAGGCCTGATCGAGGATGTAGCATTGGGCGCATTGAAAATATTGAAGATCAGGGTAGATTGCCCTGAGCGTACAGAGATTTGGAGGAAGAGAAGGTCTGATAGTACTTCTTGAATAATTATATTAGGGCGGAGCTGAAAGAACTATATACCTGTTGGAACGATGTTATCAACCAGACTAGAGAGGTGGAGTATCTTGACCTAATCCACATACCGCACAGCACCTTGC